TATATTATTACACCCCCCTTATTATATTATTACACCCCCTTATTACATTATATTACACCCCCCGAATTATATTATTATATTACACCCCCCTTATTATATTATTATATTGTAATATCCCACTGTAATGGACCTTTCAAGATGCACAGACAGCTACTGCATTCACCAATCTACCGAACTGCAAACTACACGAATCCTCCAACTCCCGAACAGGAAACACACGAACACTGGAAACAGCTGAACAGGAAAAGCATTCAATCAGCTTACACTCCTGGCAATCAGCATACAATCCAATTTCTCCCCCCAAGAACGAGACAACACTTCGTTTTGAGGTCAAGCAGAACTGATTTACTGGGGCTACCTGCCTGGCTTTTATGCAGGTCTCCCACCTGGTGGACACTCCCCTAGGGGACCAAATGGACTGGGACACAAAAGGGTAAAAGGACCAATCACAGACTTACACATTTCAACAATGCATCACAATCCCTCCTCTCTGTCCTGGAGATAATTGGGAAGTAATCCAATGTTTCCAAGGGCAGAGGCAAAACTCCATTACACACATTTTCAGTAAAAAGACATAAAATTACACACGGTTACCTTTATCACTTAAAACACACACATTCTACATATCCTCAGATAGCTTAGATCTGAGTGCACATTATTACCGAATGGCGCTCAGATCACATACATACAGTTCAATCGCCATGGAGCCAAAGTCTTTCCCATAATCTTTCGTTAAACACAAATAGGCTCCATGGCATAGCTATCTGGGGTGATGCTGTTCATATGGTCAAACTACCGAATGAACAGTCATTCGGTTCCACTACTGAATGCAGAGGTAAGGTGGCTGGCAGCTCAGCGGTGTTCGCGCAAATAAGTGTCCGTTTCCAGTTTCATAGTTTGGGCGCTGAACACCGCCGGTCGTTCGGGAGTTAAAATGGCTGCTGCCCCGTGTTCAGCAAACGAACAAAGGCCACCCAGCGTTCGTCATTTAAGCTGCGGTGAACCGCAGCTTCTGGGCGGTCAGTTGACGGCACACTCCAGTTCCCAGTTGGTTGATCGTTAGGTAGATTGAATCTACCGACCACCCTGGCAGAAAGGCACGAATACACCTTTCTACAGGGAAAATAAAAGGTTTTAAATGCCAGGCCATAGTCTAAAGGGAGCAGGCGAGCAACAAGGCTTCTCCAGTGGACAGTGGTGATATCACTGTATCCCACTTATTATATTGTAATATCCTACCGTGATATCACTGTATCCACTTATTATATTATTATTGTGGCAAACCTAGCCACTTTAGATTGTATTGTCATAGGTCTAAAGGTTGTCTTAGAAAAGCTGGTTCTATTCTGTATGTATCCATGTATAACTGTAATAGAGAGCATTCGCATGCTAGCAGCCAAAAGCCGCTAGCGTTCCTAAGGTAGTTTCACGAACAGTGACTTCCCACACTGTTCGTGAAACGAATAAAGTACCGAATGGGAGCCCACACACAGGGGGCCGCGTGGCTCCCATTAACTGATTGCAACATTGTAGCAATCGGCGGTTAATTGATTTCCCTGGTGGCCGTCGTTCGGCTACCAACCACGAGGCGTCGGCCATCTTGGATTTTCCTTTTGCCCAGCGGTGTTTGGTCGTCGAGGGCCTGGTACTAAAATCGGCTTTCGGTATTTTGTTCTCAATTATGTATTCGGTACTTTTAAGATGAATATATATTAAAGTATGTTTCGTGCGGTGTTCGGTTATTTATGCTGGGATCTGAGCGGTACTTTCCCAAAGTGTGCGCTCAGACCCCAGATGTCTACCCAATGGTCATTCGGTATAATAGCAGGAATAATGTTAAAGTTATGGATTTTTGTGTAAAAAGCTAGTTCTGCTGTACGGAGGGATAATCCACTTAACAGGATATTCTAGTGGGAGTATCCCTCTCGTACAGCAGTGCATGGTGAATAAAATAATCAGTTGACTCCCAGAACTGTGTGTCGTCCGGTTACTGGGGGATTTGGAATATTGCCTTCATTTCCAGCGCTTCACTTGGATTATTTTCTGTACCAGCGGAGATAATGGGATTTAATATTGCAGCTCCGCTACAATTATATTGTAATATCCCACCATGATATCACTGTATCCACTTATATTATTATATTGTAATATCCCACCATGATATCACCGTATCCCACTTATTATATTATTATATTGTAATATCCTACCATGATATCACTGTATCCCACTTATTATATTATTATATTGTAATATCCCACCATTCTATCACTGTATCCACTTATTATATTGTAATATCCCACCATTCTATCACTGTATCCACTTATCATATTATTATTATTATGATATTTATAGAGCACCGTCAAATTCCGCAGCGCTTTACAATGGGTGGACGAACAGACATGTAGTTGTAACCAGACAAGTTGGACACACAGGAACAGAGGGGTTGAGGGCCCTTCGCAATGAGCTTACATGCTAGAGGGAGTGGGGTAAAATGACACAAAAAGGTAAGGATAGTATTAGACTAGTGACAGTTGCAGAAGAGGAATCAGTCAGGAGCTATTAACAGTTTAATTCATACGCTTTTATGAAGAAGTGGGTTTTTAACGATTTTTTGAAGGAGTGGAGACTGGGTGAGCATCTAACTGAGGAGGGAAGCGAGTTCCACAGGAAAGGTGCATCCCTCGAGAAATCTTGAAGGCGAGCATCAGAGGTGGGAGTACGGACAGGAGATAGACGTAAGTCTTCAGCAGATCGTAAGGGCCTAGACGGGACATACTTGTGTGTAAGGGAGGATAGATAGGTGGGAGCAGCATTATGTAGAGATTTGAAAGCATGAACAAGAATTTTAAATTGAACTCTATATTTTATAGGAAGCCAATGTAGGGACTAACAGAAGGGTGAGGCATGGGAGGTGCTGGCGGACAGGAAGATGAGCCTCACCGCCGCATTCATTATGGACTGTAACGGCGCTAGTTGGGAGCATGTAAGACCACTGAGAAGCCGGATTGCTGAAAGTAGTCAAGGCAAGAAAAAGGACAGTGGAAACAACAACACCTTAGCCTGATTTTACATAAGTAGGGCGAAGCTCTAATATTTTGAGATGGAAATGACAGGATCACATAGATTGAACATGAGGCTTGAAGGAGAGGTCAAGGCCAAAGAGAAAATTGACCTAGGCAGCTAGCCCATGCGCAGGGAGCTGATGGTAAAGTGATGTAGATTAATTTAGAAATAAACAAAAATGTTTAAAAGTCTATCTGTTCCTGTCCAAATCTGAGATGAATAAATTGCGTATACGCAGAAGTAAGTTCACACTGACACATGCAGTTCGGGTTAAAAACACTTCAGGAAATTTATTAGCATCTAGTTAAAAAGCGGGCACGCAGGCCTTTTTATATGCAAAATGACATCATCATTGAATATCAGATATTAACAAATAAACATCATTAATTGGGTTAAATGTTAAGTGGCTATGTCAGTGTCCACCCATTAATATTATTAATTGGCTCAGAGATTTGAGTGACTAGTGAGGCACCCTCCCATCATGGGATGTCGTCGCCATTGCTCTTTAGCACGAGGCTTGCTCGGTGGAAAGGGGGGCTTGGGCGTCATTTTACGTAGTTAGTGATGTCAGTCTCGTGGTCTGTTCCAAGGTTCTTTTATGAATAGAACATTTCATTTTGTTGCTGTTCTCCTGGCCTTGGATTATACTATGTTGCAAGTCAACGGAGATCCGTTAACTCCGGGGCTAGTTATGTCCTTAGAGAGAGAAAATACAATCTCTTATTCATTATACTGAATACTGTCAGGAAATTCTGTCATGTAAGGTGAACAAAATGGAGTTAGTACAATAATTCAATACAGGTTCTAATAAAGATTTTAATAATTCTACATCAGTAGAACCGTTGACTTGGAGGGAGACAGACACAGGAGTAACAACACTTGAGGGAGGAAAGACCAGAATTTCAGTTTTGGTCAAGTTTAGTTTAAGGAAGTGGGCAGCCATCCAGTTAGAAACAGCAGAGAGGCAGTCAGAGACATATTCTATCACTGTATCCCACTTATTATATTATTATTATTGTAATAGCCTACCATGAGATCACTATATCCACTTATTATATTATTATATTGTAATATCCTACCATGATATCACTGTATCCACTTATTATATTATTATATTGTAATATCCTACCATGAGATCACTATATCCACTTATTATATTATTATTGTAATATCCTACCATGAAATCACTGTATCCACTTATTATATTATTATATTGTAATATCCTACCATGAGATCACTATATCCACTTATTATATTATTATTATTGTAATATCCTACCATGATATCACTGTATCCACTTATTATATTATTATTATTGTAATATCCCACCATATCACTGTATCCACTTATAATATTATTATATTGTAATATCCCACCATTCTATCACTGTATCCCACTTATTATATTATTATTATTGTAATATCCTACCATGATATCACTGTATCCCACTTATTATATTATTATATTGTAATATCCTACCATGATATCACTGTATCCCACTTATTATATTATTATATTGTAATATCCCACCATGATATCACTGTATCCCACTTATTATATTATTATATTGTAATATCCCACCATTCTATCACTGTATCCCACTTATTATATTATTATTATTGTAATATCCTACCATGATATCACTGTATCCCACTTATTATATTATTATATTGATATCCTACATGATATCACTGTATCCACTTATTATATTATTATATTGTAATAACCCACCATGATATCACTGTATCCCACTTATTATATTATTATATTGTAATATCCCACCATTCTATCACTGTATCCCACTTATTATATTATTATTATTGTAATATCCTACCATGATATCACTGTATCCCACTTATTATATTGTAATATCCTACCATGATATCCCTGTATCCCACTTATTATATTATTATATTGTTATATCCCACCATGATATCACTGTATCCCACTTATTATATTATTATATTGTAATATCCCACCATGATATCACTGTATCCACTTATTATATTATTATATTGTAATATCCTACCATGATATCACTGTATCCACTTATTATATTATTATTATTGTAATATCCTACCATGATATCACTGTATCCCACTTATCATATTATTATATTGTAATATCCCACCATGATATCACTGTATCCACTTATTATATTATTATATTGTAATATCCTACCATGATATCACTGTATCCACTTATTATTTTATTATATTGTTATATCCCACTTATTATATTATTATATTGTAATATCCCACCATTCTATCACTGTATCCACTTATTATATTATTATATTGTAATATCCTACCATGATATCACTATATCCACTTATTATATTATTATATTGTAATATCCCACCATTCTATCACTGTATCCACTTATTATATTGTAATATCCCACCATGATATCACTGTATCCACTTATTATATTATTATATTGTAATATCCCACCATTCTATCACTGTATCCACTTATTATATTATTATATTGTAATATCCCACCATGATATCACTGTATCCACTTATTATATTATTATATTGTAATATCCTACCATGATATCACTGTATCCACTTATTATATTATTATATTGTAATATCCCACCATGATATCACTGTATCCACTTATTATATTATTATATTGTAATATCCTACCATGATATCACTGTATCCCACTTATTATATTATTATATTGTAATATCCCACCATGATATCACTGTATCCACTTATTATATTATTATATTGTAATATCCCACATGATATCACTGTATCCCACTTATTATATTATTATATTGTAATATCCCACCATGATATCACTGTATCCCACTTATTATATTATTATATTGTAATATCCCACCATGATATCACTGTATCCACTTATTATATTATTATATTGTAATAACCCACCATTCTATCACTGTATCCACTTATTATATTATTATATTGTAATATCTCACCATGATATCACTGTATCCACTTATTATATTATTATATTGTAATATCTCACCATGATATCACTGTATCCACTTATTATATTATTATATTGTAATATCTCACCATGATATCACTATATCCACTTATTATATTATTATATTGTAATATCCCACCATTCTATCACTGTATCCCACTTATTATATTATTATATTGTTATATCCTACCATTCTATCACTGTATCCACTTATTATATTATTTTATTGTAATATCCTACCATGATATCACTGTATCCACTTATTATATTATAATATCCCACTATGATATCACTGTATCCACTTATTATATTATTATATTGTAATATCCTACCATTCTATCACTGTATAACTTATTATATTATTACATTGTTATATCCCACCATGATATCACTGTATCCCACTTATTATATTATAATATCCCACTATGATATCACTGTATCCACTTATTATATTATTATATTGTAATATCCCACTGTAGCGGAATGGCAATATTAAATCCACGAATTCAGCTGGTTCAGGAAGTAATCCACAGTCAAGCGCTGAAAAGCAAGGCAATATCCCAAATCTCCCAGTAACCGGACGAAACAGTTCTGAGAGTCAACTGAGGTCTTTATTTTCAGCTCCACAATTTATACAATTCCCCATGCAAGGGGTTTCCTGAGTCCCATCCCAGGGGCATTCCCAGAGTGGACTACATGGGGAACTTCCATTACAGAGCCTTTCTCCCATCAGGCACTGCTGCACGAGAGGGATCCTCCCACAGGAATGTACCGTTAAGTGGATTATCCCTCCGTGCAGCAGAACCGACAATTTATATTAAAATACATAACTTTTCGAATATGCAGTCTATTTGCACGAATGGACGTTCGGTAGATAGCTGGGGTCTGAGCGCATCATTCGTGAGATTACCGCTCAGATCCCAGCTAAAACAACCGAACGCCACACGAAAAACACATTCATTAAAATGTATATTCAAAAGACCGATTGAAGTCTAGGGAACATAATACCGAATGGCCCGGAACTCCCGAACGGCCTGGAAGCTCAGCGGTGTTCGCGCCGTCGAGTAGCCGTTTTTAGTACCATGCGCTCGACGACCAAACACCGCTGAGGGAACAAAGGATCCAAGATGGCCAACCGCCGCATGGTCGGTAGTCGAACGGCGGCCACCTAGGAGAGCCTCTAATTACCGATTGCAACATTGTTGCAATCGGTTAACAAGCGCCACACGTCTCTAAGTGTGTGGGCTACTACATGGTGGTTATTTCGGTTCACGAACGGCCCGCAAAAGTGCCGTTCGTGAAACGAAAGGAAATACAGCTATCTGCATTCGGCAGATAGCCAATACAGTAAATACACGTTATTACAGCCAGCATACATTACACTTAGTTAAACACATATCCCCACAGACATACAGGCAACCCTTAAAGGCACAGTCTCTTTATATTGTCCAAGTGGCTAGGTTTGCCACACCCACCGTGATATCACTGTATCCCACTTATTATATTATATTGAAATATCCTACCATAAATCATTACTGCTAGGACCGGTTAAGTCTCTTTATATACAGTGTGTGAATGAATCTATATGTGGGACCCAGTAATCCCTCCATTAACAGATTCATTCACACACTGTATATAGAGCAACTGAACCGGTCCTTGCATTAACTCCATATGTGGTACTCCGTAATCCCTCCATTAACACAGTTACTGCCAGGACTGGTTCAGTTCACTGTGGCAAACCTAGCCACTTCAGACTATTCTTATATATATAATGGTTGTCCTAGAAAGCCTGTTTAACCTATGTGGTTTTATGTGTTTGCTTATAACGGTGATAGAGGGCATTCGTAGGCTAGTGGTGCGAAAGCCGCTAGCATTCATATGCTAGTTTCACGAACAGTGACTTTCAACACTGTTCGTGAAACGAACAAAGTACCAAATGGGAGACCACACACAGGAGGTAGTGTGGCTCCTATTAACAGATTGCAACATTTTAGCGTTTCTCCAGTTAATTGATTTGCGCGGTGGCCGCCGTTCGGATACCGACCACGCGGCCATCTTGGATTCACTTTTAGCCCAGCGGTGTTTGGTCATTGAGTGCCTGGAACTAAAATCGGCTACTCAACTGCACAAACACCGCTGGACTTCCAGACCATTCGGGAACACCGGTCTTTCGGTACTTTCCTTCAAACTGTGCGTTCGTGTGTTTTATTGAGAATTCATATTAAAATGTATTTTGTGTGGCGTTCGGCTGATTGTGCTGGGATCTGAGCGGTAATCTACCGAAGTATGCGCTCAGATCCCAGCTATCTACTCATATGTCATTTGGTACAATAGCACGAATAATGTGCCAGTTACATATTTTTGAATAAAAAGCTCGGTTCTGCTGTACGGAGGGATAACCCACTTAACAGCATATTCTTGTGGGAGTATCCCTCTTGTACAGCACTGCATGGTGGGTAAAATGTCCTACATGTTCAGTTCCCTATGTAGCCCTCTACTGTATAACCCCTGTAAAGTGATTAAGGAAACCCCTTGCATGGGGAACCACATAAATACTGGAGCTGTGAATAAAAACCTCAGTTGATTCCCAGAACTGTGTTTCGTCCGGTTATTGGGGGATTTGGGATATTGCCTTCATTTCAGCGCTTTTCTTGGATTGTTTTCTTTTACCAGCGGAGATATTGGTATTTTATATTGCAGCTCCGCTACAGTCACTCTATGCACAGCATACTCTATCTGTAAATGAAGGGATTCCTGTGTCCCACATATAGAGTTACTGTTAGCAGTGGTACATTTGCTTTATATACAGCATGTGAATGATCAGTTAATGGAGGATTACTGGGTCCCACATATACCGTTACTGCTAGGACAGGTTCAGTCCCTCTATATACAGTATATGAATGAATCTGTAAATGGAGGGATTACTGGTTCATACATACAAAGTTACTGTTGGGATCGGTTCAGTCGCTCTATATACAGCGTGTGAATGAATCTGTAAATGGTGGACTCTCTGGAGCATTAAATTGAGCCATTCTTGTCTTGACACAGGATGGATAGTCTTGGCGTGACACTTCACCGTGGTCACCATGTGGCTGTCACATGGGATGGCAGTACTTCTCCTGAGGCCCTGGCACAGTTGGTGTCCCTCATTCAAGAAGCAGTGTCTCCAGATGGAAGGGTGGCAGTGGAGAATGTGGAGCGTCTGATACTGTGTAAGTCCCCGATTAAGAACATTCCTGTCCTAAGTGACTTCAATAATTGCACCAGGGTCCTGAAATGACCATGTTTGGACAGAAAAGTTCTTTAGTCTACCAATGTCTGCCTGGATTTTCACCCAACTCCTAATTTAACAAATCCAAATGTTAAAATTGATGTTAAAGTAGTCGGGCTGTGAACAGAGTCTAGCTGGAGAATGTTTCAAATTTGCTCTTTTAGCATTTGTATTTAATTTGCTAAAAATCTGAGTTTATTGTATTAGCACTCTCATTAATTACTGCTTTAGTAAAAACTGACTTTTAGTTGTTGTAGTAACCAGCTTTTGCAGAGTCATAACCCCAACATAAAGAGTTCCTAGCGGACTTGCCCAGATCCAGGCGGATTATCACTAGTCCTGAACCATGTTTAATACGCTCTAGTGGATTCTGCATGAAAAGCCTTCATCCAATGTTACCTAACAGCCTGTCCCCTCCGATCGGTTCTAATCTTCTATTGGTCTTTTTTTTCAGCCGCCCACCCTCATTCCACCTTTGATGTCATCTTCCTCGGCATGGTGTCTGGCAGCGTGTGTGTTCACAGTTCTGATGTCCTGGCAGAAGTAGCTCGTGTCCTAAAGCCAGGCGGGACAGTGGTTATTCAGGAGCCTGTGATCTCTGAAACAGGTAAGGATTCCCCCTCCCACCACACTGTGTGTAATGGACATTACCTATTCCACGCTGGTTACCAGGACAGGAAGCCATATAAGTGGCTTTCTTTGCCTTGAGTCACATTGTGTAGTATTTGATGCGATTTTGGGGCATACCCATCATTCTAATCAGATGCTAATCTCCTAGGTAAAGGGGAATCTTTACGGACCCCAACTCTGCTCTTTTCTGCTCTCAAACTCTCAGGTCTAACATATGTGACTCAGGTAAGTGTTTGCTGTGTTTATTTTATGATTTAATTCTCGATGTACTTTCACATTCTCCAAGTCGTCTATGCTTCCAATTCAAATACTCTGCCTTAAATGTGAAATTGATTCTGAATTCACTTTGACACATTGAAGTGTTGGTGTCAGTGTACAGATGTTGCAGGAGCCCAGGGTCTGAAAGGCTGAGTGTAATGCCTCCAGATGTGGGGTTGCTAGAGTTAAAGGGGCCATCCTGATACTCTGTGTTTAACTCACAGCATCAGTGTTGATGGTAGTTATAGTGAACGTTCTACTCTCGGCATCAGTAACTGCTTCTATGTGCTTGTATTAGAAACCCGGTCCCCGACTTGGGATCCATATCTGAACCAGCGACTTTTCTGTGCCACCAGCCGTGTTTAAGCGAATACTTTTCTAAACACAACGCCTAGTGCTCATGATTTTTCGTCTGTGTCAGACCTGGAAGAAGCAACTTCATTTATACAAAGCCCCTTCTTGCACCATGTCTGCTCCCCCTCTGTACCTATTACTGACACCCCTAATCTAGTTAGACAGCTCCCATAAATAAATCTCTATGTATGGGAGCTGTCCACACCCAGCATGCTCTCTGCTTCCTTTATAGCACACCTTCCTAATTATATCCTAAATCATACAACAGAAATAATAGGCTCTCACTATAGTACTAAAAAACTTACACATTTTTGGCAGCAGTAAATAGTACAAGGATTCCAGGACAAGTTAAAAGGAGACAGAGTATATCGCACCCAATCTAGGTGTACCGGTATTATACGTACATAGGTCTTTAGGTTGTTCAACACAGTTGACCTCAGACTGAAACAAAAAAGACACCAAAATAGTGCAGCACAATATGATGTATATAAGTAATAGACTTTAATTATTGTGTACAATACACTTACATTTGTTAGAGCTCTGCTGTTGGGCGCATGGGCGGTATAATTCCCATCTAGGATGTATGGTGGTTCAACCAACACAGGTACTGCAGTTAAAGTGCAGTTTGCAGGATATATGTGAAGGCAAATACAGAAAACTCCAATGGTGAAGTAAGTACTTAAACCAGATGAAGATAAAGTAATGTACTTACATTTCCCAAAGCAAAACTTGCTCTAGTGTAAACAACAAGGGTGGTGTAATCCCGCCTGAGGATATGATTTCACCAGGAAGCAAGATGGTGAATATGTATAAAAGTTAACTTTGTATTAAACCAAAACAATTTATAAAAGCAATAAAATCGTTGTAAAACTGTCTCACTTTACACGTTTCACCTCTTCAAGGCTTCTTTAGAAGTGAAGTTGGGTCCTTATAGCTTCCAGTTTATATAAATTGCTGATCGCTTCCTGGTGAGTCTGTTTAACAACTTCCTGTTACCAATCTGGAACGCACGCGTCATACCGGAAGTGACACAGCGTTTGTCAATCATTGGTAGTCTCATTAGACTTTATGCACCTTGATTAGGAACGCACACGTCATTCCGGAAGTGACGGGGCGTTTGTCAAGCATTGGTAGTCTCAGTAGACTTTATGCACCTTGATTAGGAACGCACACGTCATTCCGGAAGTGACTGGGCGTTTGTCAATCATTGGTAGTCTCATTAGACTTTATGCACCTTGATTAGGAACGCACACGTCATTCCGGAAGTGACGGGGCGTTTGTCAAGCATTGGTAGTCTCAGTAGACTTTATGCACCTTGATTAGGAACGCACACGTCATTCCGGAAGTGACTGGGCGTTTGTCAATCATTGGTAGTCTCATTAGACTTTATGCACCTTGATTAGGAACGCACACGTCATTCCGGAAGTGACGGGGCGTTTGTCAAGCATTGGTAGTCTCAGTAGACTTCATGCACCTTGATTAGGAACGCACACGTCATTCCAGAAGTGACGGGGCGTTTGTCAATCATCGGTAGTCTCAGTAGACTTTATGCACCTTGATTAGGAAAGCACACATCATTCCGGAAGTGACGGGGCATTTGTCAATCATTGGTAGTCTCAGTAGACTTTATGCACCTCGATTAGGAACGCACACGTCATTCCGGAAGTGACGGGGCGTTTGTCAATCATTGATAGTCTCATTAGACTTTATGCGTTGCTAAAAATGGCGTAGCTGCGTTCCAGTCACTAGTAATTCTGTATTATAAGCCCCTCACGTAATCGAAACAAAAGGTATAGAGTCTGTTATAAATCAAACACTAATGTTAAATAGAAATGAACTCCTAGAAAAAGAAAAAAAATCAAAAGAACCCAAAGTTTCCTTTACCTATTGTATTAGATTATAACAAGCACTGGCACCTATTAAAAGAAGATTCATTACAGAAAGATCTAAAGTAGCTTTTAGAGGGGCTCCAAATTTAACAATGCACCTTACAAAAAATTATACGAGGGTAAGCCTATACGATAGGAAAGGTACATTCGGTACTTTGTTCGTTTCACGAACAGTGTTGAAAGTCACTGTTCGTGAAACTACTGTATGAATGCTGGTGGCTTTCATGCCACCAGCATACGAATGCTCTCGTTCGCATAAGATACAGATACATGGCTATGCTTGGTTCTAACAGCCTTAAAGCTATAACATCACATTAATGCAAATACAGTTCTAAGTGGCTAGTTTTTCCACACAGGCACTCGACGACCAAACGCCGCTGGGCTAAAAGTGAATCCAAGATGGCCGCCGCCGCGTGGTCAGTATCCGAACGGCGGCCACCCCGCGAACCACTAGTATACGAATGCCCTCTATCACCTTTTTAAGCGAACACATGAAACAACATAGATCAAACAGCCTTTCTAGGACAACCATTAGATATAAAGGAATAGTCTGAAGTGGCTAGGTTTGCCACAATGCTCCCCCAGAACCAAGCCGACATACACAGTCTGATCCCAGCGGATCGGCTTGGGGATGTCCAGAGGTGTACTCACAGATCACTTTTCAAGTTCAGTTTGTCTGGATAACCTGTCAGCGTTGCCATTTTGCTTGCCAGGGCGGTAATGAATGGTAAAGTCAAATGGTTGCAGCGCGAAGCTCCAGCGCAGCAGCCAGGCATTGTCCACAGCCACCAGGCATTCTTTCTCAATGGTGGCGTAGCTTACTTCTCGTGGTAATAACTTTCTGCTTAAGTAAGCTACGGGATGTTCTCCGCCATCTGCTCCAACTTGGCTCAGCACTGCTCCCAATCAAAACATTGAAGCGTCTGTGTGAACAAGAAATCGTTTAGTTGGATCAGGAGCAGCAAGTACAGGTGCATTGGTCAAAGCAGTTTTGAGTTGTTGAAATGCCTGATCACACTCTGGGGCCCAGATGACCTGTCGAAGATTTTTGCGTGTCAAGTCAGTAAGGGGTTTGGCCAGGGCACTGTAATTGGGTACAAACTTCCGGTAGTACCCTGCGGTACCCAGGAAGGCTAACACTTGGGGGGTAGGCCACTTAGCTACAGCCTCTATTTTGGCGAGTTCCGGTTTCTGTTGCCCACTCCCTACCCTGTGACCAAGATACTGTACCTCCGCCATCCCTATGTGACACTTGCTGAGTTTTAGCGTCAACACTGCCTCTCCAATACGGTCAATGACAGCTCCAATATGTCTCAGATGGTCTGACCACGTCTGGCTAGATATGGCGATATCGTCCAGGTATGCACATGCATACTCCTGGAACCCATCCAGTAGCGATCTACCATCCTTAGAAAAGTAGCCGGAACGTTTTTTATCCCGAATGGTATGACTTGAAACTGGTACAGGCCAAACGAGGTGACAAACACCGACTTGGGAATGGCATCTTCGGCTAAAGGAATCTGCCAGTACCCCTTGCACAAGTCAATCGTAGTGAGGTACTGGCCTCGTGCCATCTTATCTAGCAGCTTGTCTATCCGGGGCATCGGGTAGGCATCAGATACTGTTTTGTCATTTAGCCTCCAGCAGTCAACACAGAACCGTGTTGTGCCATCCTTCTTGGGTACTAGCACTACCGGCGATGCCCAGGGGCTATCGGAATGTTCGATAACCCCTAGCTGCAACATCTCTTCAATTTCCTTCCACATATGTTCCCTGACTGCTTCCGGGATACGATATGGGGTCTGCCGCATCGGTAGCTGTCCTGGGGTCTCTACTCGGTGAGTGGCTAGCGGGGTGTACCCTGGTAAATTGGAGAAAGTGGCTCCCTTAGCCGCAATTAACTCCTGTACCTGGGCACACGCCTGAGGACTTAGCCGCTCCCCCAGCTGAACACCCGTGGAGTTCTCTGCCTGATCTTATCGCTCTAATAAGTCGGCTAGAGGAAGATTCTCCTGATCCTCAGAGGCTGATGCGCATATAGCTGCCACGTCCTCTATCCTCTCATGGTAGGGTTTGAGCATATTCACGTGGAGCATGCGTCTCTTCCCTGCCCCTGAGCAGGGGCCAATTACATAGGTGTTGTCACATCTCTGCTCCACCACCTGGTATGGGCCCTGCCAGGTGGCCTGCAGCTTGTCATTGCAGACAGGTTTAAAAATCAAAACTTTCTGTCCCACTTGAAAGCTGTGGTCCCTTGCTCCCCTATCATACCATCGGTGCTGGCGTTGTTGGACCGCTTAGAGGTTTACCCGTACGGTCTCTGAATTCCAGCACACATGGTACAATGGGTATCCCATCTGCACTGCTTTCCCCTTCCCAATGCTCTCTAATTAAATTTAGGGATCCTCTCATCCTCCTCCCAAACAATAATTCAAAGGGGGAAAACCCGGTGGACTCTTGAGGTACCTCTCTGTAGGCGAAAAGCAAATGGGGTAAAAATCTCTCCCAGTCCTTATGGGCCTCTCCAAATGTACGGAGCATCTGCTTTAAAGTTCTGTTGAACCTTTCACATAACCCATTGGACTGAGGGTGGTAAGCAGAGGTCACAAAAGGCTTAATGCCACATATTTTCCAGAGTTGGTGGGTTACTTCGGCTGTGAACTGCGTGCCCCTATCGGAGGTTATCTCCTGTGGGAACCCCACCCGGGAAAAGACTTTCATTAAGGCTTCTGCCACCGTCTCTGCGTGAATATTAGAGAGGGCTACTGCCTCGGGGTACCTGGTGGCGTAATCAACCACGGTCAAGATGTACTTCTTCCTTCCTATTTACCACCCTTAAAACTATGGGAATAGGCCCCAATTACATACAATGGGTGAGAACACTGTATAAGGGACCATCAGCCACAGTTGGAGTCAATGGGCAAAACTCCCCCCCCCCCCCCCCCCCTTTACCATAGGCAATGGTACGAGACAGGGGTGCCCTTTGTTGCCACTACTATTCGTTCTGGTGGTGGAACCATTCCTAAATGATATCAGGGCAAATAACAACATTAAAGGCATCAGGGCAGGCGGACAGGTGCTTCTTACCCACACCCACCCTGAGCGATCCCTCCCACATCTTCAAAACAAGAGAATACTTCAGCACATACTCTAACTTCAAGATAAACGCTGATAAGTGTGAACTAATGGGAATAAACCTAAACCCGACCCAACACAAGCACATAAGCCACACTTACCCTTATAAATGGGCAAACACAGGCCTCACATATTTAGGCGTTAAACTTACACCCACAACTACAAGCATCTATAGAATGAACTATATCCCCCTATTGGCTAACAACTGAATCACAACTGAAACAATGGGACAAACCACACTTCTCCCTATTTGGAAGAGTCAACCTAATTAAGATGATGATACTACCAAAAATCCTATATATATTTCAAACGCTCCCCATCGAGTTTGGACGCTCGTTTTTCCACACACTGAAAAAAACCTTCCTCTTGTTTATCTGGGGAAATAAAAAAAATCCCGATTGGCATATGAAACACTCACACGGGACAAAAAGAAAGGAGGTATGGGATTTCCCCATATATACAACTACTACATAGCAGTCCTATTCACTAGAATAAGGGAATGGACAGATATAATGCACAAAAAAGCGTGGTAGAACAAAGCTATGCACAAGCTCCTCTGTCATACCTCCCCTGGCAAACATGCCAACTACAGCAGATAACAAACATAACCCACCCCCTTATCCCCCACATCCTAAAGAAATGGAGATCACACAAAAACACATGGAACTTGTCACCAGGCATTTCTCCATTATATCCATTAAACCAAAACCCAGATAAACTAGGGGACAGGGGAGCACATACTATAATAAAACTATCAGGGATGCCGAATCCGCAACTAGGAGACCTACTGACGGAAGATACACCACCTAAACTCAAAAATTTCCAAAACCCAGGAGGTCACCACTCACTAATAGAAGCAATGAGATACACACAAATGAGGGACTCTCTCACCCAAAAAGTACTACCAAACTGGACTCCAAGAGGACTGACACACTTTGAGAAACTATGCACGACCACAAAACCACAGAAACGCACCCTATCACAAATTTACAAACTCATCCAAACTTCCGATAATGATCAGGAGATCCTGGCATGCCAACGAAAATGGATGAAGGAACTACACATACACATGACACACCAGGACTGGGCATATATCTTCACAAAACCCATGCACATTTCCATTAGCCTATCAAGACACTAGTCTTTCTATAAGCGCATTACGCAGTGGTATAGGACTCCAGACGTACTTCGTTTGTATTGGCCAACAGTTAGTGATAAATGTTGGAGATGCAAGGGAGACGTGGGCAATATGGGGCATCCATGGTGATTTTGTCCACAAATAAAAACATATTGGGCGGAAGTAATATCCAAGATTAATGAGATCTTAAGGGTGCCACACTCCCTAACTCCCTCCCAGGTCCTGCTGGGATGGCCGCAATCTTTCCAATGTATGAGGAGTCAGCGCCTGCTATGGCTCCTTCTGGTAGAAGCAAACAACCTTATACCAGTCTACTGGAAACAAACTGTATAGCCCAATGGATAGAAAGGGTAGAGCACATGAGAGAAATGGAAATGCTACATTGGTCCACAATAGGCAAATATAACACCTACCTAAACACATGGGAACACTGGCTAAAACATTGGGCACAGACACGAAATCAACCACAATAGATTGAAAAGTGATAATGAAAAACACCTTGTACCTTTCTTCCCCCTCACATGTACATAGTATCCCCCCGCCCCACCCCATACCCTACCCCCAGTATATCTGGTGACCCCAGTTGACAACCTCACACCAAAGATTCAAAGAAATACAGAACACTAGGACAACACATGTGGTAATATAACAAGAGTTACATAGGAATCGTTGTCTATCTCCATACTGCTGTATAAATTGAAACTTACCATCCCCTTCCTAACCTCCTCCCCCTCTTTCTCTTCTGTACCCCCTCTTATCTGTTGTGAAATATCAATAAAATTTGAATTAAACAAAAAAGATGTACTTCTTTCCGGAGGGACTGGGTTTGGGTAAGGGTCCTACTATGTCTACGGCCACCCTACTAAACGGCTCTTCTATAATGGGTAGCGGGCATAATTTAGCCTTGTGTCGGTCACCCCTTTTGCCTACTCTCTGACAGATGTCACACGTCTGGCAGTACTGCCTAACATCTTTAGATATACCTGGCCAGAAGAATGCATGGGTCAGTCGGTATCTAGTTCGGGTCATACCCAGATGCCCAGACAATGGAATGTCATGAGCAGTCCTAAGGAGTTTCTGTCTGTATATCTGAGGTACTACCAGTTGTCTAGTAGTAACATTTACAGATCCCCCCCCACCACCCTTTCAGCAGTACGGTATAATAACCCCTTTTCCCAGGCATACCGCTCCCCCTCTAAACCTGCCTGATCAGAGGTCACCCTATCTCTATATACCTTCAACGTAGGGTCTAGCTTACCCTGACTGAATTTGGAGCAGAGGTTATCCCAGGGAACACGAGTCATAGAGGGTACATTGTCTCTTACCTGAGCCTCAGAGTGTGTAGTTGAAGCCGTGGCGCGAGCCTGTTGCCTTGTGTTTACCGGATGCGCCACTTGAGGTACAAAAGCCAAAGTCATTCTGCCTAGGTCATTCCCCAATACGACATCTGCCGGCAGTTTTTGCATCAGGCCCACCTCCACCATGTCTTCCCCCACGCCCCAATTCAAGTGTACTTTGGCTGTTGGCAATCGGTACATCGCTCCCCCTGCTACTCGGACTGCCACGGATCCGTCCATGTGCACCTTGCCTGGAACCAGATGAGGTGCTACTAAGGTCAGAGTGGCCCCCGAGTCTTGGAGCCCTTGTACTTCTCTCCCCTCCAGGGTTACCATCTGGCGATGAGGGTGCAGATTGTCTGTGGCTTGTGCAGACATCACGTCATGAAGTACTCCCAGGGGCTCTTCCGTGTGATTAAACATTAGCTCATGGGGTGCTGGCTCTGCCTGGTAGTGGTGAGCGGCTGCTTGTGGTACTGGGTTCGGTCTTACTTGGCTCCATGCTTGACGACTCCGGTTCTGAGTGCACTCTCTCGCCATGTGGCCCCATTGCTTGCAGGTATGGCACTGAATGTTGGATCGGCCATTGTATCGGGACGGTGGGTTTTGTCCCTCAGTTGCTGGCCGGAATGGTGCTGTTGTGGGTGCGGTGGTAGCAGCTGTAAGTGGCTGGGTGGTGGGTCGAGTATACCCTTGGTTGAGATTGCCATGATGCCTCCTAGCGTCATAGTGCTGGTCCGCCAGCCGTGCAGCTTCAGTTAATGTGAGGGGTTTTCTATCTCTCACCCATTCTTGTGCCTCGGGTACCAGACCATTGAAAAACTGCTCCAACAATAGCAGCTGGCGTAACTCTTCCATGGTGGTAGCTTGACTAGCTTGTATCCACCCCTGGGAGGCTTGATCAAGCTTGTGTGCCCACTCTGCGTGTGAATCCTTATCTGGTTTGCGCAGTCCTCTAAACTTGCGCCGGTATGCCTCCGGGATAATGGCATATCTCTCCAATATGGCTTGTTTTACCTTGGCATAATTTTTGCTGTCCTCTCTGGGCACGGCCCGATATGCTTCTGCTGCCCAACCAGATAATTTGCCTGCCAGTAAGGGTACCCACACTGCCTGCTCCAGATCATGCAGGTCACACAGTCTTTCAAAATATTGTAGGTACCCATGAATCTTGTCTTTGTCTTCACAAAACATTTTAAAAGCATGGTGCGGTATCTTTGGCTTTACCTGGTTGGTGATTGAAGCAGCAGTAGATTCTGCTCTGGAGAGTAAATCCTGCGGTCTGTGTGTCATCACATACTCATGCACATCTGCTATCAGTACAGTCAGCATTTCCAGAGGTACTGGATGGGGTAAGAATTCCAGCCTTTTTCTCATCTTTCTGGAATGGGGTCTCTTCCATGTCTGGTGGAGGTGTAGCGCTGCGAGCTCTGTCTCCCTCCATTAGTTCAGCAATAAGTACAGCTTTCGACTTATTGCTGGCTATCTTACCCCTTGTGACGAGACCAATCTCGCCACATTGCATTGGAGAAGCCTGGTTGCTCGCCTGTTGCCTTTGGATTATGGCCCCATGTTAAAAGGCTTGATTTTCCCCTGCAAAGACAAGAAAGCCGGGTCATTTGGTGCTTGCCCTGTTTGAGCAGTGATACCCCAGATAGCTATGCCATGGAGCCCATTCGTATAATGAAAGACTATGGGAAAGACTTTGGCAAAGACTCCATGGCAATTGAACTGTATGTGTGTGCTCTGAGCGCCATTCAGTAATAATGTGCGCTCATACCTAAGCTATCTGGGCATATGTTGCATGTCTGTATTTTATGTCATAAATGTAACCTTGTGCATTTTATTGTATTTTACTGTCTTTTTGCTGCCATGTGTTCAATGGAGTTTTGCCTCTGTCTTTGGAGATAATTGGGCAGAAAAGCCATGCTTCCTGTGGTCACAAAGGACTACGATCTATCTTTTGAACTACTGGACCAATTTGTATGATTTTGACGTATGTTTGTATTTGGAGTATGCTGATTCTAAAAAAATTAAGTTTTAAGTGAATGTGATGCATACTTTTCAAGTTATGAATAATGTGGAAAAACTGTATTTCTCTGCTTGTGCTAAATTACATTACCCATTGTGTAAGGTAATTGAATCACATGCAGAGGGGAGGAATTTGTGTGGGAGTGTCTGAGTGTATTGTATGTGCTTATTGGTTGTGTTCCAAAACCCTGTGGGTGGTACTAATGTGTAAGAATGTGTACATAAGCACAATAAACCCACAGCTCTGTCTGTTCACTGCTTGACCCTCAACACGGAGCTTTGTCTCGTTCTTGGGGGGATTTATTGTATGCTGTTCCAGTTTGACTGCTAGGAGTGTAAACCTATTCGCATGGTTTTTCCTGTTCGGCTGCTTACAGTATTCGTATGGTTTCCTGTTTGGCGGATTGGTGTTCTGCAGTAGCTGTGCCTGCATCTCTGGAAGTGGAAGATCTTCTAAACGGCGGTTTAACCCTTTTATGCTTATGGTGCCGTAACACCCCTGGCTTCCAATAGTTCTTTTAACGTTTGACGTTTCAATGTAGTATAATCTGTCTCCATTCACCTGTGTTCGTTTCTTTGTTGCATACGAATTGCCATTCACTTTCCCGTTCGGCAGTTTCAATTGCACGAACACCGCTTTTCGGCTGTTAGGTTGAATCCCATCACTTGCCACCAATTGTAGCAGAGCTGCAATATTAAATCCCAATATCTCCGCTGGTAAAAGAAAATAATCCAAGAAAAGCACTGAATGAAGGCAATATACCAAATCCCCCAGTAACCGGACAAAACACAGTTCTGGGAGTCAACTGAGGTTTTTATTCACATGCTCCAGTATCGACGACCAAACACCGCTGGGCTAAAAGTGAATCCAAGATGGCCGCCGCCGCGTGGTCGGTATCCGACCGGCGGCCACCACGCGAATCCATTAACTGGGGAACGCTACAATGTTGCAATCTGTTAATGGGAGCCAAATGATCTCCTGTGTGTGGTCTCCCATTCGGTACTTTGTTTGTTTCATGAACAGTGTTGAAAGTCACTTTTCGTGAAACTACCATATGAATGCTAGCGGCTTTCGCGCCACTAGCATACGAATGCCCACTATCACATTTTTAGGCGAACACATGAAACAACATAGATTAAACAGCCTTTCTAGGACAACCATTAGTGTTACGGTTACCTCCAAGCTAGCTGAAGGCTGGACCACTTGGATGTCCTGGTTCCCGAGTGTGGAGAGAGGGAAACTCTGTTCCGTTCAGCATACCACAAGAATCCTGCGAATATAAAGCAGTCCCACTAGCTATAGTACAGCTAGGATACCCTTGTTCCCACAAAGCGATTTGAGGGTCAAAACTAACTGGGTTTAATGGCACACAGACATCGCTATTTATGCAAAGCCCCAGGTCCTGGGACAGCCCCCTCTGGACCTGATGGGATACAGGGACAATACAAACCGTTAACCAATGACATTATAGTGTAGCGTTTGCAATGGTCACCGCCCAGCTTGGAGATAATGACTCGGTTATGGCAATTTAATTATCCCCAAGCGCCCAAAATCCCACGTATTATTGTAACAGTTAAAACAGTATAAAAATACTTAATTGTAACATTTTAATAGACACATTTTATATTTTACCATTCGTTGGATAGCCCAGATCTGAGCACAGCAAATAGGCGAATAGCGCTCAGATCTCACGAACGGTATAGCCGTTTTTTCCATACAAAGTCCTTTCGTGCCTTTTTGTCCCGAACACGAGATGGCGGCCATGTTTTCTGGTGGGTGAATAGAGAGCAGGACCTGGCCCTAAAACCCCTGGAGTGAGTAATGGATAAACAGTTGCGCGAATACCGCTCAGTGGATGGTTGTCCCAGCCCCTTGTGAGCTTAACAGAGACCGCCATGAAGGGGGGTACTTAGCTTGTGGTTAACCGCAGACCCAACGTTATAATTGGGGCCACACGCCTGAGTGTAGGTGGTGCTCGTTTGGGAGTCTTTCTGGAGTTTCAGTTCGGTGAATTATTATCCGAACAAGGTCATCCTGAGGCAGTCAATTAGGCTTGTGGTTAACCGCAGACCGCAGCTTTCCGGTGGTCAATTGGAATCACACTCCGCTTGTAAGGTGGTCGGCCGTTCGGTTGTTTCAGAGGTGAAAGAGGTTAAGTGGCAGCACACGCCAAGGGCCGGGTGGTCTTTGTTTGTATGCACGAATACATAGTCCTGACTGTTCGTGTAATGTGTTTATACAGTAGTACTACCGAAACAGAGTATACGGTAAAATAAAACAGGGTAATCCAGTATCTGTAGAGCGCCCATAAGAGTGCTCCCTCCTAGTGGAACACTCTGGCAGACACCGTCTGACCCCTTTTCGAGGCAGACTAAGGCTGTCCAGACTGGTAGGTTAGGCTGGACTGAGGTCTGTTTGTCGAGATAACCCGTTGGCATTGCCATTCTGTTTTCCGGGTCTGTAGGTGATGGTAAAATTAAAGGGTTGTAATGATAAGCTCCAACGTAAGAGCCTGCCGTTGTCCCCAGAGACCCGGTTTAGCCACACCAACGGGTTATGGTCAGTTACCAGAGTGAACTCTTGTCCATACAAGTAGGGAGTCCGTTTCTTTAGAGCCCACACAAGGGCCAAACACTCCTTTTTCACTGCGGCATAGCTGACCTCGCGTGGCAGGAGCTTTCGGCTGATGTAGGCAATCGGGTGCTACCCTCCATCTTCTCCTACTTGGCTGAGGACTGCCCCCAATAAAACGTTTGTTAGGGGCTGGGGCAGCCAAGATGGGAGCATTAACAAGAGCAGTTTTAAGAGCTTGAAACGCAGTTTCACAGTGGGGAGACCACAGGACATGTCGGGGAAGGTTTTTCTTAGTCAGGTCGGTCAGTGGCTTGACTATGGTACTGTAGTCGGGCACGAAACGCCTGTAGTATCCTGCAGTGCCCAAAAAGGCTAGGACCTGGGTCTTGGTGGTGGGGGTGGGCCAGTTGGTGACATCTATCTTAGCCGGCTCTGGCCGCTGTTTCCCGAACCCCACCCGGTGACCCAGGTACTGTACCTCGGCCATTCCAAAATGGCACTTCTCTGGCTTCAGAGTCAGGCCAGCGGCCCGAATCTGATCCAGGACCATTCCTACGTGAGCTAAGTGTTCCTCCCAGGATTCACTGTGGATCGCTATGTCGTCTAGGTATGCACAGGCAAAACCCTGGAATGTGGCTGCGGCATTCTTCATCCCGAACGGCATTACCTTGAAGTGGTATAAGCCAAATGGGGTGACGAATGCCGACTTAGGGATAGCTTCCTGGGCCAGGGGAATTTGCCAATAACCTTTACAGAGGTCAATGGTAGTTAGTTTCCCCTGGCTATACGGTCAAGTATTTCATCGACTCTGGGCATAGGGTAGGCGTCCGTTACTGTCTTGTCGTTGAGCTTCCGATAGTCCACACAAAACCGGGTAGTTCCATCTTTCTTGGGGACTAGATCTACCGGGGATGCCCATGGGCTATCGGAAGACTCAATCACCCCTAGTTGGAGCATCTCCTCAATCTCCGTTTCATCCCAGCCCGAACTGCTTTGGGGATTCAGTAGGGGGCCTATTCGTAGGGGTTGCTGCCCTGGAGTGTCTACCACGTGGGTAGTTAGGTGAGTGTACCCTGGTTCTTGGGAGAATGTAGTCCGTTTAGTGTGAAGTAGGATTTAACTGCTCCCTGTCAGGATCGATACAGGGATCCAACACGCAGAGTACTAATAACTATAAAGACGTATACCGGACCTTAGAGTGGCCGGACTAATGTCACACAAACAAAGAATGGTCAGGAACGAGCCGAGGTCGAGGGTACGAGAAGACCGGTAAGCGGAAGCCAAGCTGAGTCCAAGGGTAGGAGAGAGAAACAAAGTCAGAATACAAGCCAAGACAATAACAGAAAACGCACTGAAGGAACAGACAAGCTGAAACCACAAAAGGGCAATGATTCACTGTAAGGGAGTACCCTTTATACCCAGCCACCTTAATTGATGACCACGCCCCCAAACGTCCTGGTTTTTTTTTTTCGGCGGGCCGTGACGTCATCGACGTCATGATGTCGGCGACGTCATGACGTCGGCGAAATTGCGCCGTGTCATAAAAGGGGGCGGGGCTATCGCAGCCGGCGTCTGAAGTGCCGAAATTGCTGGAGAAGAAGGGTGCCTGTGTTCCCACCTGAGACTGGACTTCCAGATGCCCAATCTCCTCACTATTGGCAACAACAGGTACCATGACACTCCCTTTCCGTGTCATTAAGTTGGTCCCCTATCTGGACCTGGGCCACTAGGTCTGTGTGGGAGTTCCTTTCCAGCAAGTCTTGGATGGGGAGGCTGTCTGGGTCCTCGTGAGGGGGAATGCAGATGGCGGTCACGTCCTCGGGTCTCTCTAGGTACTCCTTTAGCATATTAATGTGAAAGGTTTTTCTCAGGTTTTTGTAATGGCAACTGGCAATTGTATATGTGGTGTCCCCCTTCTTTTCTACAATCTGGTAAGGACTTTGCCAGGTGGCCTGCAGTTTGTCTGCCTTGACTTGTTTGAGTACCAGAACCTTCTCCCCTATGGCAAAGCTCCATGCTCGGGCGCCCCGGTCGTACCATACTTTCTGTCTCCTCTGCGCCGACTGGAGATTAACCTGGACAGACCTGGCTAATTGCTCCATTCGGTCCCGGAGTTCCAGCACGTATGGCATGATGAGGACCCCGGCATTCTCGTTTTCCCCCTCCCAGTGCTCTAGGATCAAGTTCAGGGGTCCCAGTACCTTGCGTCCGTAGAGCAGCTCAAAAGGAGAAAACGCGGTCGTTTCCTGGGGCACCTCCCGGTATGCGAACATGAAGTGCAGTAGGAAGCATTCCCAATCCCTATATTCCTGAGTGAAGGTTTTGAGCATCTGTTTGAGGGTCCCGTTGAACCTCTAACAGAGTCCATTAGTCCAAGAGAATACCTGAACCAACGCATTAGCTACAGTGTCTGCCTGGATGTTAGATAGGGCCACGGCTTCAGGGTACCTGGTAGCATAGTCAACTACGGTAAGAATATAACGTTTACCGGAGGGACTAGGGGTAGCCAGTGGCCCCACTAAATCAATAGCAACCCGGCTGAATGGCTCCTCTATAATGGTCATATTCATTAGGTGTGCCTTAGGATGTGTTGCAATGTGTCCTAACGTCCGCGTGTACCCCAGGCCAGAAGAAGGTGTGGGTAATACGGTGTAGGGTGCGAGTTACAGCCAAGTGGCCAGCTAAGGGAATATCATGCCCTATCCTTAGTATCTCCTGTCTGTACTTATACAGGACTACCAATTGTTGCCTATGCTGTCCCTTCTTCTCTGTTAGACGGTACAGTTTCCCCTTCTCCCATACAAATGTCTAGTTATCTAGCCCCCCTCCCCCAGATTCGGCTTTGGTCGGGTCAGATTTGGGCTCGTTCTCAAAGGTGGCTGGGGTATCCCAGGGTATGGGATCTAATGGGGCAGTCAGGGTCGGAGTGGGTCTTACCTGTGGCTCCCGCAATGGTGAATGGTCTGGCTGGTTCCTGGCTTGTGCTCGGGTAGTCACCGGATGAGCATCGGGGGTATAGGACGGGGCATAAGCAGATGTCATAGGTCCCAAATCGTTGCCCAGTAATACCTCTGCTGGCAAATTATCCATGATTCCCACCTTCACAGTCCCTTTTCCCGCCCCCAATCAAGATGGACCTTGGCGGTCGGGATTTTGTATACATCCCCCCCAGCCACTCGAACGGCCACAGTCTGTCCTGAATGCTTGTGCTCCGGCACCAAGTGGCTTTGAACCAGGGTTATTGTAGCTCCAGTGTCCCGCAGTCCCTCTGTGGGGTGTCCCTCAAGCCATAATTTCTGCCTGTGGTGTTGGCGGTTGTCGGAGGCAGCATATACTGGGTCTGCTTCCTGGAGGGGTCCCAGGTATTCTTCCATGGGACCCTCCTGGTTAACACACAGAGCTCTGGCCGGCAGGGACGATCCCATGGAGTTATTGTAATTCCGGGGGGTTTGGTGGTGATTGTTGAGAGGGCAATTCGCCATGAGATGCCCTGGTTGCTTGCACCGAAAACATGTTGGTTGCGGACGTTCAGCAGTGTGACTATTGGGTGGTCCGGGGTGCCTGGTAGGTCCTGCTGGCACTGGAGCCCTGAAGTCAGGTCGGGACAGTGTTCGGTAGTTCTCCCGGCTTTCGGTACGAATCGTCGGTCGGTAGTTGTTGCTTTCGTGTAACCGTGAATCACAATGTTCATTAGCCAACCTAGCAACCTCTGTGAGGGTAGTGGGCCTACGATCACGAAGCCATTCCTTGCACCGTTGATCTAATCCATTGTAAAAATGTTCCAAAAGAAATAACTAGAGAGATACCAGCTATGCCTCACTGATGATGCCTAACAAGGCTGAAACGATCGTCTGGGGTTGCTGTATCTCTCGTGCAGAGAGAACTTGCTGGCATTTCGGATCTGGACTGCCCGTATGGGTGGGACCAGTCTGATATGCTTCAGATATGTTCTCTCTGTAATGGCACAAGTTGAGCTAAAACCAGCTTGAGTTCTGAGCGGGGACCCACCGAAGGGCAGGCTATTTTAGCGGCTGTCTGTTCTCAGAATACTCTTGCGACCCATTTTTGCTCTCCATTAGTTTAAAGGGTAATCCAGACGTGGACCCCTTGCTCACGGTGCCTAGAGAGATACCAGCTATGCCTCACTGATGATGCCTAACAAGGCTGAAACGATCGTCTGGGGTTGCTGTATCTCTCGTGCAGAGAGAACTTGCTGGCATTTCGGATCTGGACTGCCCGTATGGGTGGGACCAGTCTGATATGCTTCAGATATGTTCTCTCTGTAATGGCACAAGTTGAGCTAAAACCAGCTTGAGTTCTGAGCGGGGACCCACCGAAGGGCAGGCTATTTTAGCGGCTGTCTGTTCTCAGAATACTCTTGCGACCCATTTTTGCTCTCCACTGTAACACCTCCTCACCCATTACGGCTTGGCATGCTTTCATCCAGTGATCGGTTGCTCTCCTCATCCGATGAGCCCATTCGTTATGTGTATCATTCGGCTTTTTCTTCGTGTTACTAAATTGCCTGCGATAAGTATCTGTGGTTACTGCATACCGTTGTAACAAGGTGTCTTTAACCCGGTCATATTTGGTCACCTCCTCGGCAGATAGTGTACGGAAAGCATCTAGGGCTCGGCCCGACAGTTTCCCCGATGTATGGTGGGCCAGTCCTCGCTGGGTATTCGGTGAAGCGCACACTGCCTCTCAAAGTCGGCCAGATATTCGTCGATCCCCATCTCATTCTCTAGGAATGATCGGAATGCTGCATGGGGAATCTTTGGTTTCCCAGTCCACTCTGCCGGGTTAGTTGCCATCACTGCAGCGGGGTTTTGCTGGGGTGTGCACAGGCTGAGCTCGTGTGCTCTGGCCTCTCGGATCTCCACATCCACTTGTGCCATAGTTTGCTGTATTAATTCCACAATCTGGTTTGGGCCGAACCAGGAGAGCCTCTCCCGGACAATCCTGTTCTTTGCTAGCGGACATCGGAGCCTCCGTCATTGTCAGGCTTTGATCCAGTTCCGTCAGTTCTACGATCAGCTCCTTCCTAGGTCGGTTGCTAGCATTCCCACCTCTGCTTTCTAGCAGATCCTTTATCGTGGTGCGTTTGAGATTGTCATAAGCACTCTCCATCCGCTCTGTACCTCTCCTAGGAATTCCAGGACGATCCCGCCGCTTGCCACCAATTGTTACGGTTACCTCCAAGCTAGCTGAAGGCTGGACCGCTTGGATGTCCTGGTTCCCGAGTGTGGAGAGAGGATAATGCTGTTCCGTTCAGTATACCACAAGAATCCTGCGAATATAAAGCAATCCCACTAGCTAGTGGCTGCGATTTGAGGGACAAAACTAACTGGGTTTAATGGCACACAGACATTGCTATTTATGCAAAGCCCCAGGTCCAGGGACAGCCCCCTCTGGACCTGATGGGATACAGGGACAATACAAACAGTTGACCAATGGCATTATAGTGTATCGTTTGAAATGGTCACCGCCCAGCTTGGAGATAATGACTCGGTTATGGCAATTTAATTATCCCCAAGCGCCCAAAATCCCACGTATTATTGTAACCGGTAAAACAGTCTAAAAATACATAATTGTAACATTTTAATACACATTTTATATTCTACCATTCGTTGGATAGCCCAGATCTGAGCACAGCAGATAGGCGAATAGCGCTCAGATCTCACAAACGGTATAGCCAGTTTTTTCCATACAAAGTCCTTTCGTGCCTTTTTGTCCCGAACACGAATGGCTCCAAAACTCAATGCAAAAGCCACTCCAACACCTCCACACTCGACGCCACGTGTTACCCGCAGGCTCCAGCATGCAGGGGACGGTGCTATAAACCTCCCAGGCGCAATGCATCCTGGGGAAACATGTTTTGTATTGTGAAAAGAAGTTGTACACCGAAGGCATTATTTTCAATGGATTTTCATTTGTAAACCAAAAATTGTTAACTGAGGCTTTTGTAAACCGAGGTCCCACTATATATACAATTTTAGAGTGTTAATAATTTAAATTTTTTTTTTTTTTTAAACAATTATATGTGTTCTTTATTTTCATTATTTAAATATACATGTTTTACAACAAAGTTTATATACGTATTCGGCTTGTACTTTTTTTTTTTTTTTTTAAACAATTATGCCATCATTACTATAAATTTTAATTTTTCTAATGTTTTTAAAAAAAATGATTTATAACTCTACTTGGTTATATATACTATTTTGATTATATATACCTAACTTTTGCCCTTTCTAAAAATGGCAGACAAGCCGTCTTTTCTCTCTAAATAAGTTATGTGTATGCCTATGGAGAATCCAAGTGTTGCGTCACTTCCTGTAAGATGCGACCAGCGAGATGATCTGTACCGCCTGTACCCTCGGACTATGTAAGGGGCTTATAATACAGATTACTAGCGATTGGAACACAGCGACTCCATTTTTAGCGACGTGTGTGTTCCAAATCGAGGTGCATGAAGTCTACTGAAACTACCAATGATGGTAGTTCCGGTATGACGCGTGCGTTCCAGCTTGGTAACAGAAAGTTGTTAAACAGACTCACCAGGAAGCTATCAGCAATTTAAATCCACCTATATAAACTGGAAGTTATAAGGACCCAACTACACTTCTAAAGAAGCCTTGAAGAGGTGAAACGCGTAAAGTGAGTTTTTTTTTTTGTTTTTTACAACTAGTTTATTGCTTTGGTTTAATAAAAAGTTAACTTTTATAGATATACTTCCCTTTTTTACCTATTCACCATCTTGCTTCCTGGTGAATTCATATCCTCAGGTGGGGATAACACCACCCTTGCTGTTGTCAGGATTATAGTTGATCCAGCACGCAGAATAGTATCACACCTAAAGACTAAGGATAACGTCTAACTGGACCTTAGAATAGCCGGACTTATTGCAGAACATTTAAAGGTTGTCTGAAATAGCTGTGTTAACCTGGTGTAAAAATTTATTCGTGTGTTTTAGAATAGAGAGCATGCATAGGCTAACAGCCGTGAATAAAATTTTCAGTTGACTTCTGGAGCCGTGAATAAAATTGTCAGTTGACTCCCTGAACTGTGTTTCGTCCGGTTACTGGGGGATTTGGGATATTGCCTTCTTTTCCAGCGCTTCACTTGGATTATTGTCTGTACCAGCGGAGATATTGGGATTTAACATTGCAGCTCCGCTAAAATTGGTGGCAAGCGACGGAATCCAACCTGCCAGATGAAAAGCGGTGTTCGGGTAATTGAAACTACCGAACAGGAAAGTGAATGGCAATTTGGATACAACAAAGAAATGGAGACGGATTACACTGCATTGAAACAGCAGACGTTAAAGGAACTATTGGAAGCCAGGGGTAAGATAGCCAGCAATAAGTCGAAAGCTGTACTTATTGCCGAACTAATGGAGGGAGACAGAGCTCGCAGCGTTACACCCCCACCAGCCATGGAGGAAACCCCCTTCCAAAAAGAAATGAGAACCAGGATGGCATTCCTACCCCAGCCAGTACCACTGGAAATACTGACGGTACTGATGGCGGATGTGAAGGAGTATGTGATGGCACACAGACCGCAAGACGCACCCTCCAGAGCAGAATCTACTGCTGCTTCAATCATCAGCCAGGTAAAGCCCAAGATACCACATCATGTTTTTAAAATATTTTGCGAAGACAAGGATGAGATTGATGGGCATCTACAAGACTTTGAGAGGCTATGTGACCTGCATGATCTAGAGCAGGCAGTGTGGGTACCTTTACTGGCAAGCAAACTGTCAGGTTGGGCAGCAGAAGCATATCGGGTCGTACCCAGAGAGGACAGCAAAGATTATGCCAGGGTAAAACAGGCTATGCTAGAGAGATATGCCATTACCCCGGAGGCATTCCGGCGCAAGTTTAGAGGGTTGCGCAAACCGGAGAAAGACTCCCATGCAGAGTGGGCACACAAACTGGATCAAGCCTCCCAGGGGTGTATACAAGCGAGCCAAGCTACCACCATGGAGTAGTTACGTCAATTGCTATTGTTGGAGCAATTTTACAATGGTCTGACACCAGAGGCACAAGAATGGGTGAGAGACAGAAAACCCTTCACCCTAACAGAAGCGGCACGACTGGCGGACCAGCACTATGACGCCAGGAGGCATCATGGTAACCTCAATCAAGGGTATCCTCGACCTGCCACCCAACCTCCTACAGCTACCACTACCGCACCCACAGCAACCCCATTCCGGCCAGCTACTGGGGGACACATTCCACCCTCCCGGTACAATTGCCGATCTAACATCCAGTGCCATAACTGCAAGCAATGGGGCCACATGGCGAGAGAGTGTACACAGAACCGGAGCCATCAAGCATGGAGCCAAGTACGACCGAACCCAGCACCACGAGCAGCCGCGCACCACTACCAAGCAGAGCCAGCAACACAGAAGATATTGTTTAATCACACAGAAGAGCCCCTGGGAATACTAAATGATGTACAGGCAACACCATCGCCAGATAGTAACCTTGGAGGGGAAAGAAGTCCAAGGGTTCCGAGGTTCAGGGGCCACTCTGACTCTGGTAGCACCTCATTTGGTTCCGGGCTCGGCGCACACCGGCGGATCCGTGGCAGTACAAGTAGCAGGGGGAACAGTATACAGATTACCGACCGCAAAAGTACACTTGAATTGGGGTGTTGGAGAAGGGATGGTGGAGGTGGGCCTGATGCATAAACTGCCAGCAGATGTCGTATTGGGAAATGACCTGGGCAGAATGAATTCCACTTTTGTACCTCAAGCTCCACCCCAAGATGCATACCCGATAACCACAAGGCAACAGGCTTGCACCACGGCTTCATCCACACACTCTGAGGCTCAGGTAAGAGACAATATAACCCCTATGACTCGTGTTCCCTGGGATACCCCGACTGAATTTGAGGCAGAGGTTAAGGTCGACCCTACGTTGAAAGTATATAGAGATAGGGTGACCTCAGATCAGGCAGGATTAGAGGGGGAGAGGTATGTTTGGGAAAAGGGGTTATTGTTCCATATTGCTGAAAGGGTGGTGGATCTGTAAATGTGACTACTAGACAGCTAGTGGTACCCCAGAAATATCGACAGGAACTCCTTAGGATCGCTCATGATATTCTGTTGTCTGGGCATCTGTGTATGACCCGAACTAGATACCGACTGACCCATGCCTTCTTCTGGCCAGGTAAATCCAAAGATGTGCGGAAGTACTGCCAGACGTGCGACATCTGTCAGAGAGTAGGTAAGAGGGGCGACCGACACAAGGCCAAATTATGCCCATCAAATTATGCCCAGTAACCCACCAACTATGGAAAATATGTGGCATTAAGCCTATCGTGAATTCTGCGTACCACCCTCAGTCCAATGGGTTATGTGAAAGGTTCAATGGAACCTTAAAGCAGATGCTCTGTACATTTGGAGAGGCCCATAAGGACTGGGAGCGATTCCTACCCCATCTGCTGTTCGCATACAGAGAGGTACCCCAAGAGTCTACCGGGTTTTCCCCCTTTGAATTACTATTTGGGAGACGGATGCAAGGGCCCCTAGATTTGATTAGAGAAAATTGGGTAGGGGAAAGCAGTGCACATGGGATACCCATTGTACCATATGTGCTGGAGTTCAGAGACCGCCTGGAGGCACTAATCCAAACCGTACAGGTAAACCGTACAGGTAAACCTCCAGGCGGCTCAACAACGCCAGCGCCGATGGTATGATAGGGGAGCCAGGGACCACAGCTTTCAGGTGGGACAGAAAGTTTTGATTTTAAAATCTGTTCGCAATGACAAGCTGCAGGCCGTCTGGCAGGGCCCATACCAGGTGGTGGAACAGAGATGTGACACCACCTATGTAATTGGCCCCTGCTCAGGGGCAGGGAAGAGACGCATGCTCCACGTGAATATGCTCAAACTCTACCATGAGAGGATAGAGGATGTGGCGGCTATATGCGCCTCAGCCTCTGTGGATCAGGATAATCTTCCACTACCTGATTTATTAGAGAGAGTAGATCAGGCAGAGCCCTTCACGGGTGTTCAGCTGGGGGAGCGGCTAAGCCCCCAGGAGCGTGCCCAGGTACAGGAGTTAATCGCGGCTAAGGGAGCCACTTTCTCCAATTTACCAGGTTACACCCCGCTAGCCACTCACCGAGTAGAGACCCCAGGACAGCTACCTATGCGGCAGACCCCATATCGTATCCCTGAAGCAGTCAGGGAACATATGCGGAAGGAAACTGAGGAGATGTTGCAGCTAGGGGTGATTGAACATTCTGATAGCCCCTGGGCATTGCTGGTAGTGCTGGTACCCAAGAAGGATGGCACAACACGATTCTGTGTTGACTACCGGAGGCTAAATGACAAAACAGTGTCTGATGCCTACCCGATGCCCCGGATAGACGAGCTGCTAGATAAGATGGCACGAGGCCAGTACCTCTCTACGTTTGACTTGTGCAAGGGGTACTGGCAGATTCCTTTAGCCGAAGATGCCATCCCCAAGTCGGCGTTTGTCACCTCGTTTGGCCTGTACCAGTTTCGAGTCATGTCATTCGGGATGAAAAACGCTCCGGCTACCTTTCAAAGGATGGTACATCGGCTACTGGACGGGTTCCAGGAGTATGCATGTGCATACCTGGACGATATCGCCATATACAGCCAGGCATGGTCCGACCACCTACGACATATTGGAGCGGTCATTGACCGTAATGGAGAGGCAGATTTGACGCTAAAACCCAGCAAGTGTCATATAGGGATTGCAGAGGTGCAATACCTTGGGCACAGAGTAGGGAGTTGGCAACAAAAACCAGAACCCGCCAAAATAGAGGCGGTAGCTAAGTGGCCTACCCCCCAGACAAAAACCCAAGTGTTAGCCTTCCTGGGTACCGCAGGGTACTACCGGAAGTTTGTACCCAATTACAGTGCCTTGGCCAAACCCCTCACTGACTTGACCCGCAAAAATCTTCCTCGACAGGTTATCTGGGCCCCAGAGTGTGATCAGGCATTTCAACAACTCAAGACTGCTTTAACCAATGCACCTGTACTTGCTGCTCCTGATCCGACTAAACTATTTCTTGTCCACACAGAAGCTTCAATGTTTGGATTGGGAGCAGTGCTGAGCCAAGTTGGAGCAGATGGCGGAGAACATCCTGTAGCTTACTTAAAGGACCACTCTAGGTACCCAGACCACTTCAGCTTAATGAAGTGGTCTGGGTGCCTGGTCCTTCTAGGGTTAACCCATTTTTTTTTATAAACATAGCAGTTTCAGAGAAACTGCTATGTTTATGAATGGGTTAAGCCTTCCCCCATTCCCTCTAGTGGCTGTCTCATTGACAGCCACTAGAGGCGCTTGCGTACTTCTCACTGTGATTTTCACAGTGAGAGCACGCCAGCGTCCATAGGAAAGCATTGAGAATGCTTTCCTATGTGACTGGCTGAATGCGCGCGCAGCTCTTGCCGCGCGTGCGCATTCAGCCGACGGGGAGGAGAGAAGGAGGATCGGAGGAGGAGAGCTCCCCGCCCAGCGCTGGAAAAAGGTAAGTTTTTACCCCTTTCCCCTTCCAGAGCCGGGCGGGAGGGGGTCCCTGAGGGTGGGGGCACCCTCAGGGCACTATAGTGCCAGGAAAACGAGTATGTTTTCCTGGCACTATAGTGGTCCTTTAAGCCGAAAGTTATTGCCCCGTGAAGTGAGCTACGCCGCCATTGAGAAAGAATGCCTGGCCGTGGTCTGGACAACCTTTCTCCTTACTCACAGATCACAACGCGTTGGTCTTGGGTCAAGAGTGGGTGGAAGACGGTGAGACCCCAACCAAGCTGCGGCGGTTCGTGGGGTCTGCGGTGGTTATGGTGTCGAGTGCGGTGCTGATTGTCCTTGGCAAGCACTAAGAGCATCGTTTGACGGAAGTACCCAGTCGTGGTGCCAGGCGATCCGTTACAATAATTGAGTCAGGAACTGTACTAAACTCAATTTATTAGTAGGGTGCCCTTAGCTGAGCTGGAGCTGTAGAATGTTGAGGTGAGCTCCTGGGACCGGCATAAATCCCGCTGGCCCAGAGGAGAGGGAACAAGCGCCTCCCTCACATCAGTTGCGCTAGTAGGCCTCAGTGCTCACTTAATTAATTCTGTGGGAAGAGACATCTTGAGTGGCACCACCGTGATCACTGCGTGTTCCCCTTTCATGGAGTAACTGAGATGCGGCACATTATGCCTTCCAATTGCAGGTAAATAGGCAATTTCGACATGAAATGCGGGAGCTGGATTGACTTGCGCCTGCTTCACTCAGAGGTCAGGCCCCGCCCTCCTTATCTTGAGTACCTGTGTTTTGGTCGAAACCACCATACATCCTTAGACGGGGATTATATTGTCCATGCACACAACAGCAGAGCTCTAAGTTAGCTTTGACAAATGTGAGTGTATTATTCACAAGAATCCAAGTCTATTCCTTATATACATCATATTGTGCTGCAATATTATTGTCTTTTTTTGTTTCATTCTGAGGTCAATTGTGTTGAACAACTTAAAGACCTGTGTACGTATAATACCGGTACACCTAGATTGGGCGCGATATACTCTTGTACAGAACTGCACCATATGTTGGTGCTTAATAAAGCCGATAATAGGAATACAAATACTGCTATCTATTGGTCAATCAAACATGTAGCCATTTCTGGACTACTTCCATTTATCATCATTTAGTATGACTCTTTTACCAAGGGGACTCAAAGCTCTGCGTATCTCAATCAGCATCTAATTAATTTAGAAATGGAGGAACAGTGTTCTTGTTTTGTAAGGTATAGATTATGTGATCTATGATTGTGTGTTATAGGAGGTGTGGGGAGCTGCAGTGAGTGTGCTGCTCAGGTAGTGTGTGTTATAGGAGGTGTGGGGGGCTGCAGTGAGTGTGCTGCTCAGGTAGTGTGGGTTATAGGGGATGTTAGGAGCTGCAGTGAGTGGGCTGCCTAGGTAGTGTGGGTTATAGGAGGTGTGGGGAGCTGCAGTGAGTGTGCTGCTCAGGTAGTGTGTGTTATAGGAGGTGTGGGGAGCTGCAGTGAGCCTGCTGCTCAGGTAGTGTGGGTTATGGGAGGTGTGGGGAGCTGCAGTGAGTGTGCTGCTCAGGTAGTGTGGGTTATAGGAGGTGTGGGGAGCTGCAGTGAGCGTGCTGCTCAGGTAGTGTGGGTTATAGGAGGTGTGGGGAGCTGCAGTGAGTGCGTTGCTCAGGTAGTGTGGGTCAGGTAGTGTGGGTTATAGGAGGTGTGGGGAGCTGCAGTGAGCGTGCTGCTCAGGTAGTGTGGGTTATAGGAGGTGTAGGGAACTGCAGTGAGCATGCTGCTCAGGTAGTGTGGGTTATAGGAGGTGTGGGGAGCTGCAGTGAGTGTGCTGCTCAGGTAGTGTGGGTTATAGGAGGTGTGGGGAGCTGCAGTGAGTGTGCTGCTCAGGTAGTGTGGGTTATAGGAGGTGTGAGGAGCTGCAGTGAGGGTGCTGCTCAAGTAGTGTGTTATAAGTGGTGTGAGGAGCTGCAGTGAGTGTGTTGCTCAGGTAGTGTGGGTTATAGGAGGTGTGGGGAGGTGCAGTGAGTGTGCTGCTCAGGTAGTGTGAGTTATAGGAGGTGGGGGGAGCTGCAGTGAGTGTGCTGCTCAGGTAGTGTGAGTTATAGGAGGTGTGGGAAGCTGCAGTCAGTGTGCTGCTCAGGTAGTGTGGGTTATAGGAGGTGTGGGGAGCTGCAGTGAGTGTGCTGCTCAGGTAGTGTGTGTTATAGGAGGTGTAGGGAGCTGCAGTGAGTGTGCTGCTCAGGTAGTGTGTGTTATAAGAGGTGTAGGGAGCTGCATTAAGCATGCTGCTCAGGTAGTGTGTGTTATAGGAGGTGTGGGGAGCTGCAGTGAGTGTGCTGCTCAGGTAGTGTGTGTTATAGGAGGTGTGGGGAGATGCAGTGAGTGTGTTGCTCAGGTAGTGTGGGTTATAGGAGCTGTGGGGAGCTGCAGTGAGTGTGTTGCTCAGGTAGTGTGGGTTATAGGAGGTGTGGGGAGCTGCAGTGAGTGTGTTGCTCAGGTAGTGTGGATTATAGGAGGTGTGGGGAGCTGCAGTGAGTGTGTTGCTCAGGTAGTGTGGGTTATAGGAGGTGTGGGGAGCTGCAGTGAGCGTGCTGCTCAGGTAGTGGCAGTTATAGGAGGTGTGGGGAGCTGCAGTGAGCGTGCTGCTCAGGTAGTGGCAGTTATAGGAGGTGTGGGGAGCTGCAGTGAGTGTGCTGCTCAGGTAGTGTGGGTTATAGGAGGCGTGGGGATCTGCAGTGAGCGTGTTGCTCAGGTAGTGTGGGTTATAGGAGGTGTGGGTGTAAATAACCAGTGTGAGTTATAGGAGGTTTTTGAGTGCTGTTTTTGCTCTCTATTTAGGTGCTGAAGGAGCCACTTATCTCCCAGCAGGTAGAAGCTCTAGAGACAGCGCTAGGAGTATCTCCAAAGGATATATTTGTAGCTCGAGTCAGTGGAAAGAAACCCAATTTTGAAGTGGGATCGTCTCAGCCTCTTTCATTCACAAAGCGCCAAGTTCCAGGTAATGGTTGGATTTACGAAGTTAGAAGAAATTGGTGTGTTGGTGAGTGTGTGCCTCTGGGAGGTTTTGGGGATGGATCTGCAGGCTGTGTAGAGTGAGATGGTCTGCGGAGGAGTCAGATTCCGGGCTTTTTATGCTCAGATTATATATATATATTGTAGGTCAGTCTCTTAATAACATTTTTTTTTATGTCAGCAAGGCCTTCAGCGGATCCAGCAGCTGTGAAACTGTGGACTCTGTCAGCTAATGACATGGGTGATGATGATTTGGTGAGTCTATTTCTTTCCCTCTTACCACAGTATACCACAGCCTTAGTATTCTTAACTAAAGAAACACTCCAAATACCACAGTACATGGTGTGCTGTAAGGGATCAAAGGGATCCGCCAGGAGCAGCTCCACACCTCCACCACTACTACTGTCAGAGAGCCGGAAGATCCCTGAGGTACAGGGCTTAGCTCTGCGGCTTAGAGCAACCAGCCGACACTATCAGCAATGAGAGAGCCCTACTTAGTGGTGGCAGGGAGCGGCAGACCCAAGGTAAAATTTCAAACTGTTCAAAAACGGTTTGACCCTTCACAATAGGGGGAGTCAGAGTGCTCCTGGCGACATAACCATTCTAGTTAATGCTGAATAATTTATGGGTGGTGATGATAATCTATAATTGGTTCAATGTGAATCTTTCACTGTTTGGTCAGGATCTTCTAGACTCTGATGAGCTCTTAGAGCAGGATGACCTTATGAAGCCATCTCCATCATCCCTGCTATCTGGAGGATGTGGTGAAAAAAATGAAAAGAAACGGAAAGCATGCAAAAACTGGTGAGAAACTGGCGATAGTCATATGGGGGGTATATTTATTTCCTAGAGCCTGTCTTTCTTCCCTGTGAAGTCACATGGAGGAGCAAGAACTCCGGGCTCGTAAAGTTCAATGTTTCCACAGTCTTGGAAAGCAGACAGTCTGTGTGAAAACGAAGGGCTTTAATCCACGTTCCAAGATTAATTGCCCCGGTGAATGGGTCACTTATGGTAAATCTGTGTAAAATGTGTGTCTTTTTCACTGACAGCACATGTGGCTTAGCTGAGGATCTGGAGGAGGAGAACAGCAAGCAATCTGCCCCAAAACCTGCACCCTCAGCCTGTGGTAATGTGAGTATGACAAGGAGGGCAGAGGCTAGAATGAGGACATGGGTGAGCGAGGTGAATGGAATCTCTGGGAATGGTGAGATGGGGTCAGGAGTGGTAGCTGTAGAAACATTGAAAGTGACGGCAGATAAGAACCATTCGGCCCATCTAGTCTGCCCAATTTTCTAAATACTTTCATTAGTCCCTGGCCTTATCTTATAGTTAGGATAGCCTTATGCCTATCCCACGCATGCTTAAACTCCTTTACTGTGTTAACCTCTACCACTTCAGCTGGAAGGCTATTCCATGCATCCACTACCCTCTCAGTAAAGTAATACTTCCTGATATTTTTAAACCTTTGCCCTTCTAATTTAAGACTATGTCCTCTTGTTGTGGTAGTTTTTCTTCTTTTAAATATGGTCTCCTCCTTTACTGTGTTCATTCCCTTTATATATTTAAATGTTTCTATCATATCCCCCCTGTCTCGTCTTTCCTCCAAGCTATACATGTTAAGATCCTTTAACCTTTCCTGGTAAGTTTTATCCTGCAATCCATGAACCCGTTTAGTAGTCCTTCTCTGAACTCTCTCCAAAATATCCTTCTGGAGAAATGGTATTTAGAATATGGTGGATTTTCAGGGTAAAGAATGGCTTAATTAGAGGGTTTGGTGTGGGAGTGGGGATAAATGTCATCTAGATGTAGTCATGGCGGTATATGGGAGGGAAGCAGGAGGAATGGATGGGTCAAATGCCAAGTGCTAATTGACATGGAGCATAAATCTGCTGTCTCGTGGTATGGTAGACCATGATGGAGGGATTTCTGTCAAACTCGCTCCCTCACATTAAAAGGCTCATTATTATCTTTTTTCGGTTGATCTTTCTGCCCACAACGGCGGACACTAGTTTAATGGACTGATTAACTGACGATGCTGACTCCCTGACCCGTTGCCTTCTTGTTTCTCTGTTAGTGCTATTTAGGTGACGCGTTCCGCTGTGCAAGCTGTCCGTACCTTGGAATGCCAGCATTCAAACCCGGAGAGAAGGTTCTCCTGAAGCCCACCCAGCTCCAAGATGCCTAGTGTGAATGGATGCATTTATATATATATATATATATAATTTACCTAGAGCTTCTCATTAACTGTGTCCTGGTCGATGTTCTATTCTGCAGAATGTGTCGAGATGCTTTCTAATAAAATATTTCAGTAATGCCATGGTCTGACTATTCCGTTACCGAGATGTGTAATACTGACCTAGGGAGACCATTTGAATCAAATTTACACTTTTTTACTGAAAGCACTTTCAGTTCCATCACTATCCTACCATGTGTTACAGTCCTGGTGTAATCACTGAACACCTTACTGAAGGAGAATTCATTGGATACAAAAAGCAATTTGGGGTAAAGTGGAGCAATCAGAAAGAACATTCCATTGGTTTCCATGGTGATTGTTTCAGCTGTGGAGCGAGCCGTGGGAACATTGCATTGGTTTCCACGGTGATTGTTCCCTAGAATTGCTCTTTGTAAATAACCTGGTGTCTAGTTGCCTGTGCACTCCATCAACGAGTAACAGAATAATCTCGCTATGGAGACATACTTGCTGTGCGGTGCAGTCGATTCATTCTATGGTTCTGATCACCTTCCAGAGCCTGTGACTGCATTATGTTTATAGTATGTTTGTACGGCAGGACGTATGGCTTTGCAATGATTCAGCTAAACTGCTAATGGAAACAGTAGAACCCCCATAAAGTAGTGCAAATGGCTGATCGATTTCAGATTAGATTTGTACTAGTGGGGAAAAATCTATTCAAGGCATAAACATTTATTTTGTGTAGGAATAGAACCCTTATTCCTAATACTTTAGCGTCCAGTCCCTGTGTATTTAGTTCTCCCCCACCCTGTGTATACCTCTCCTTCTCTTGCAACTTCATCAAGTAAATGGCCTCCTCCGTGATGGTCTGATCTGATGCGTATACATGGCAAATGCTTTTACTCGGTCAGTGAGTCGGTCATATTGATAACCCTACTATCATAACATTGACATATCTACGAAACTTTAATGTCTTACATCACAGGGTAAAAAGGACCGCACCATGGCATTGACCTATTGCACCCGCACCGCCGGGGAGGAGTTAGGGGATGAGTCAGCTGATCTCTCTCTATGTAAAACGCCTTTTTCACAGACAGACTGGATATTATATCAGATGATATAATATTTAATGCTAGCTGTCTGTTTCCACTCAGTGTATGATTGATTAGATCACTAATTATGAATTTTGTTGTTAAATAATATATTCTGCAGTTTGCTGTGGTATGTAATACGCTGTGTTTTAGCAACGTGCCCAGGGCTCCACTATCAGTGCAGCGGCCAGAATAAGCTGTTTGTGTTTAATAATGGCTGTCAGTCTGGGCTGTTTGTGTTTAATAATGGCTCTCAGTCTGGGCTGTTTGTGTTTAATAATGCCTGTCAGGCAGGGCTGTTTGTGTTTAATAATGGCTCTCGGTCTGGGCTGTTTGTGTTTAATAATGGCTCTCGGTCTGGGCTGTTTGTGTTTAATAATGGCTGTCGGTCTTGGCTGTTTGTTTTTAATAATGGCTGTCGGTCTGGACTGTTTGTGTTTAATAATGGCTGTCGGTCTGGGCTGTTTGTGTTTAATAATGGCTCTCGGTCTTGGCTGTTTGTGTTTAATAATGGCTCTCAGTCTGGACTGTTTGTGTTTAATAATGGCTGTCGGTCTGGACTGTTTGTGTTTAATAATGGCTGTCGGTCTGGACTGTTTGTGTTTAATAATGGCTGTCGGTCTGGGCTGTTTGTGTTTAATAATGGCTCTCGGTCTGGGCTGTTTGTGTTTAATAATGGCTCTCGGTCTGGGCTGTTTGTGTTTAATAATGGCTGTCGGTCTTGGCTGTTTGTTTTTAATAATGGCTGTCGGTCTGGACTGTTTGTGTTTAATAATGGCTGTCGGTCTGGGCTGTTTGTGTTTAATAATGGCTCTCGGTCTTGGCTGTTTGTGTTTAATAATGGCTCTCAGTCTGGACTGTTTGTGTTTAATAATGGCTGTCGGTCTGGACTGTTTGTGTTTAATAATGGCTGTCGGTCTGGGCTGTTTGTGTTTAATGGCTGCCAATCTAAATAAAATATTTTTGAGATGATTGGGACTCAGTGGAATATTTCACATGAACACAAAACAGTGGAATGAGGGGAATTCTCTAGCTATAGATTAGTCAGTCTGCTCACAGGGACCTTGCTAATAACAAGGTGTAATCAGTGGTTTCTCTTATCGAGTGGTGAAAAGGTTACTCTGTTAGTCATTAAGTATTGGCACACCTTTACTCAGTACCAGAGTGTCCTCTCCCGACTGACACGAAGGACTTCATATTTTACCTGTGTCTGAAGGAGACGCATTCAGGTGAGTGAATTGGCTGATAGGATGGGGGTAGGTGCCGGCTAATGGGGGAGAATAATAGAATGTCACTGATGGCTAATGGGGGACAATAGAATGTCACTGATGGCCAATGGGGGAGGATAATAGAATGTCACTGGCTAATGGGGAGGAGGATAATAGAATGTCACTCATGGCTAATGGGGGAAGGGTAATAGAATGTCGCTAATGGGGGGAGGATAATAGAATGTCACTCATGGCTAATGGGGGGAGGATAATAGAATGTCGCTAATGGGGGGAGGATAATAGAATGTCACTGATGGCTAATGGGGGGAGGATAATAGAATGTCACTGCCGGCTAATGGAGGAGAATAGAATGTCACTGCCGGCTGATGGGGGAGGAGAATAGAATGTCATTGCCGGCTAATGGGGGACAATAGAATGTCACTGATGGCCAATGGGGGAGGATAATATAATGCCCATGTGCCAATGTTGAGGGTTAGGATCATTCTTAGAGTTCTTGGTCCCAGCAGTACCTACTCTATTATTATAAGGACTGATGTTATGCCAGGGAAAATTCACTAACCGGCTTCCTGTGGAAAGCATGGTCTAATGCCCAGATGTGGAACCTCGTGCCCGGTTCATAATTTCTTGTGTAATCAGTGTCTATGACCTCAGAGCAGAATCAGGTTTGTGTAACCCAGAGCTGGAAGACATGTAACGACTGATGCGCCTTTTTGTTCTTCAGGAGAGGCCCTGGCTCTTTAGATGCATTGAACCATGGGAGCCAGTGTGAGCTGCAGGAGGGGAGGTCATGTACCAAAGGCAAATGCTCTGTGTAATCGTGTGATTTCCCCAGAAAGCTGTGTGGACATTAACCAGGCCACTGAAGAGGAGCTTATGACCCTACCAGGAATTAACCGAAACTTGGCCCAAAGCATCACAATACATCGGCGAAAGCTGGGTGGCTTCCGGCGGGTGGAGGATCTGGCGTTGGTCACAGGAGTTGGAGCAGAGCGAATGCTAATTTTGCGGCCAGAGCTGTGTGTGAGGAAGCAAACCCGATCGCAGATCGAGAATAATGGATCAGAGTCCATCTTTAATGAGGGTGGTTCGGCTTCTCAACTGTCAACAGACTGTAAGCAGCAGGACAGGACATTGCAATACCTTGAAGTCATCCCCCCCTCTAAGTTAGCATAACAATGCTGTCTCACCATGCGTACATCTATCCTACAAACACAACCGCTAGGAAGGCTGACAGGTGGAAGATGCACAGGGAATCTGGGATGAAGAATGGAAAGGGATTTTATTAGTCATTTTATAAAGTACTTTGTCGCAGCAGTTTTTGTTTCTCTGCCCTCTGGGTTTTGAACGAACATGTTGAAACCAGTGTTTCGGTGGATTTTGTGGATGCTCAAGTCTATTCCTTACCTTTCCACCTTACATACAGTCCCATGCCAGAGCAGTCCACAGCCAAGGGCTGTGCAGTTAATGGGTGTATCAGGATAATACTCGGGTTCTGTGTGATACAGGTTATCGTCTAAAATAAAAAACACGTTTTATTTGGAAACAGAAATTGTGGAAAAAAAACTTTTTTTTAAAATTTTTTTTCATATAAAATTCAGTTCCTCTAGATATTTACTGACTGGATCCATTCAAATAAAAACATGTCTGTGCGGTCGACATTTCATGCAAGTGTGGGTTAGTCTAAAACTGTGCGGATAATTGACAAAAAGAACTACAAATTCGTCCAGCATTGTCTCACTGTGAGAAACCTCCATCTTGACTGTTTTGAACCCAAATGGTGGGTTAATGGATAAAAGCTGTGTAGCCTTGGGTTTGAGCCTGTGGTGGGAGTCAGTCAGGGAGTGCTTGTCTCAGTTCCTCATCACTCAGTTGATTCGTTTCCATGATGTGACAGAGCTGGTTTTGATACTTGTTCAAATCATGCATGAAATGAGGTATTCGAGTGTTCTCCAACTGCGCAAATTTCCGCAGCACTTCGACATCCTCGTATGAAACCTGAAGAAAAGACCATTAAAATGAAGCTTTAACACAAACTTTTTTTTTTTTTTATCTTGTGATTCTTCTATTACACGCCAATCTTTCTTTATCTTGCAATATCCAATGGTATATCTCTTGGGGCCAAGTGCAGGCACCAACTTGAGTAGGTCTTAGTGATGGACAGTGTAATAATACCCCATGAAAGGCACATTTATCACCAGGATGGAGAGAACTCAGTGATGGGCATGTTCTAGCACCACGGAGGGTAAATTTTACTGTAATATCCAAGGAAGTTCTATGGCAGAGCGGGTAGATTTTACTGTAAAACACCTAGAAGGGCACATTCTAGCACAGGGGCTGATAGATCTTACTGTAATACCCCAGGAAGGGCACGTTCTAGCGCAGGGGAGAGTCTATTTTACATTAATATCAGGAAGGGTAAGCACTAGCTCTAGTACTGGCATAATCTCTGTCTAAAGCTGGATCTGGTTGTGTGTAACATGTTATCAGTATGTTGTGTTACTCTGGATCTGAGATTCTATTATTAGTGATGTCGCTGACGGCGAACATATGCGCTGTTCGGTCCGCCCCCTATGTCATTATTGAGTAAACTTTGACCCTGTACCTCACAGTCAGCAGACACATTCCAGCCAATCAGCAGCAGACCCTCCCTCCCAGACCCTCCCACCATTCATTGTGAAGCTGCATTCTTAGTGAGCTGTCCAGGAGGTGGGAGGGTCTGGGAGGGAGGGTCTGCTGCTGATTGGCTGGAATGTGTCTGCTGACTGTGAGGTACAGGGTCAAAGTTTACTCAATGATGACATGGGGGCGGACCGAACAGCGCATATGTTCGCCGTCCTTGGCGAACCGTTCGGGACATCACTATCTATTATGTGATATAGAACAAACATTACGGGTGCATATTCCATACTTATCAGGGTCACTTGCTATACTGGGATTGTGTCACTTTGCACGGCTTAGTGATTACACTCTCCTGTGTGTGATATTCTTTAGAGAATTCGATGGATGACATAGAAACCAAATCTAGGAAGAGAAGGCCGGCCATGGCTAACGGGAGATCTCCCAACATTGCAGAACAGTACACTTCCATAAAGCGTTGCCATTCTGAATCCTGGCAGAGCAACATCCGGGTATCTACATTTTGCAGAGTCCTGCCCCGCATGTTGTATATCAAGCATGTTAAATTCAAAGGCTAGCACGGCCCAAATAAACTAAAACTTCAGTTCTCATAGAAAAGGAGGTTTATTTCGAAAAGTACAGGATAAAAAAAGTTGCCTGACTGACACTGGACGTTCTCACGCTTGCAGGGCTTCAAAGTAAATAAAAGAGCAATTTTATATTAAAGGGACACTCCAGGCACCCAGACCACTTCTGCCCATTGGAGTGGTCTGGGTGCCAACTCCCACTACCCTTAACCCGTTTTCATAAACTGCAATAATTACCTTGCAGGGTTAACTCCTCCTCTAGTGGCTGTCAACTAGACAGCCACTAGAGGGCACTTCTGGCATCATAGCACAGATTTGTACTATAGTGTCGCTGGACGTCCTCACTATGTGAGGACCTCCAACGTCGCTAAAATCCCCATAGGAAAGCATTGAAAAGCATTTTCAATGCTTTCCTATGGAGAGGTCTAATGCGCGTGCCTTTGGTAAGTGACCTGCAGTGCCAGGAAATCTGATTGTTTTCCTGGCACTGGAGAGTCCCTTTAAGGAGATGTGTATTTCATATAACCAATGTTTCAGCCCAACTACCTTGACATATTAAGAAAAGTTTGATAATGGGACTGAAATGGCGAACGTATGCTGAAATGACGTTATCTTGTTGATTCCTGTGAGTGTGTTATTCACTTTGGCTGAGATCATCAAACTTTATGATCTCAGCCAATCCGTTGGGAGGCTAGTGTGCATGTGTAGCAAAAAGCTGTGCGGCCAGTCAGCATCTCCATGCAGACTCAATCTAATACACTGCCCCCAAATACAATACACTGCCCCCAAATCCAATACCCTACCCCTTAATCTAATACACTGCCCCCAAATCCAATACACTACCCCTTAATGCAATACAATGCCCCTCCTCCCAATTTAATACACTGGGCCCCCTTTCTCCCTCAAATTTATACACTGCCCGCCTCCCCAATTGATCACACTAAACAATAAGGTCCCCCAATCTCCCCTTCCTCTACCTTAAGATGAGCCACCCGTCCTCCAGTTCCAGGCACTACGAGCAGGAGGGAATGGGGACTGGCTGGCCTGCGGGGGCACGCCATCTGCCGTGGGAGGAAAGACCAGAAATATCAGTCCTGTCTTGCGGGTGGTCGCAGCCACAGCATGAATTGTGGGCCGCGAGTTTGACATGCTTGGTGTACAATGTCAGATTTCTGAAAAACGGTTAAATTTTAAGAAAAGCCAATTCCCAGACCTGCTTTCTTCTCACAGTTCTAACAGTAGTAATTGTAAACGTGCAGAGGTTCTAGTTAGAAGAGTTTGGCATAATGTTGATTGGAGACACGCTGTATGTGTACCGGGCTATATAAGGTATTACTGGATACAACAGACATTCAAACCATAAGGTGAGGTAAGGATTCATTACCTTCCCAAGGGAAGCCAGAAGAGGGAAGTCAATGGTGTGTCGGTGGCGCAGAATCCGCAATATTCCATCCAGGTAGACCTGGTCTTTACTGAAGCAGCCTGGGGAAATCATATCACAAGTCAAACAATCGATCGTTGTCACTAGTTCTATAAGAAGTGAGTTCTGGAGTCACGTACCTGGTTCTGTTGTGTCTTTCTGACCTCTTTTGGCTCTCACACAGTACTCCCACCGCACAGAAGGATCCTGCACAAACTGCTGGAGGCTGTGGAACAGCTCAGAGAAGCTACTCTTAGAGGCACAACTCACAGTGTAGTACAGGAGAGCGGCACGCCACAGGTAGGGCTGCTTTCTGAATAGGACGCTATGCAAGCTTGCTAGTCCCTCCTCCGTAGGGTTAGCTGGCCTTAATCCAAACTGCTTGCGTCCTTCTGATCCATGCCAAGGCTGGCGAGCATCATTCACCCCACGGATGTAATGGGTGCCTACAGGGAAATATGGCTTCTGGTCACAGTGGCAATGATGGTATATATGTGACACTATACAGCTAATTTACTAAAGTCACAATTCAAAGTGGATTTCAAATTTAAGGCCAAAGTAGCTACAACAGAAGTATAACTGATTTAGGGAACTCTTCTATTTCAGCTATTTTGGCTTTAAATTTGAAATTTACTTTGAATTCCCTTCAATTGTCCCTTTAGTGAATAAGCCTGTCATGGTTTGCTTTTACCAGACATATATCATGATGAGAGTGAATGGCCCGTGTTACCCATAATATCCTTGAGTTTAACTTCACTTCATCCTATAAGTACACCCTCTCCCCTCCGTTTTATCATATACCTCTACACCCTCCAAGCTAAGCTCTTTGTGACAGAATGCACTGCATGCACAATGCCTGTCCTGGCTGGGAATTGTTAGACACAAACCAATCTCATGTCGCAGCATTCCCTCCAACCAGTGCTGCCGGGCCCCGAGTAGGTTAATGCTGAGAGTTGGACGGCTGTTCTCAACTGACATGACTGCCTGAGATAGCAAGTCTTTAGTTAGCTGAACCACCACCTAGAGACCACCAGAGAGAGAGAGAAAGAGACACAAACAAAACAAGTCTTCAGTAATCCTAGAGACATACAGCTACAGATAATTTGGGGAAAAGCTAATAAAACATAGTAAACACTTATCTGACCAACATTTTCAGATTTTTTTTTCTATTTATCATTATATTGCACATGTCTCCTCTCCTAACCCATCAGTGCATTGCGTCTCCCCTCCTAACCCATCAATGCACCGGTCTCCCTTCCTAACCCATCACTGCACCACGTCTCCCCTCCTAACCCATCACTGCACCGAGTCTCCCCTCCTAACCCATCACTGCAGCGCGTCTCCCCTCCTAACCCATCACTGCACCGCGTCTCCCCTCCTAACCCATCACTGCAGCGCGTCTCCCCTCCTAACCCATCACTGCACCGCGTCTCCCCTCCTAACCCATCACTGCAGCGCGTCTCCCCTCCTAACCCATCACTGCAGCGCGTCTCCCCTCCTAACCCATCACTGCAGTGGCGTACACATGACCCATGGGGCCCCGGTGCGAAAATTGATCCGTGGCCCCCCCCCGCGCGCAGGCCGGGCCGCAACACATGGCGGTGGGCACCTGGTCGCAGGGTTTACAGGGCTGCGACCCCTGCGACCGCGGTATGTACGCCAGTGCATGCAGATGCACACTTAAAGGACCACTCTAGGCACCCAGACCACTTCAGCTTAATGAAGTGGTCTGGGTGCCAGGTCCAGCTAGGGTTAACCCATTTTTTCATAAACATAGCAGTTTCAGAGAAACTGCTATGTTTATGAATGGGTTAAGCCTTCCCCTATTTCCTCTAGCGGCTGTTTCATTGACAGCCGCTAGAGGCGCTTGCGTGCTTCTCACTGTGATTTTCACAGTGAGAGCACGCCAGCGTCCATAGGAAAGCATTATGAATGCTTTCATATGTGACCGGCTGAATCGTGCACAGCTCTTGCGGCGTCATACAGCCGGGGAGGAGAGAAGGGATGGGGAGGGCTCTCCGCTTGGCGATTGGAAAAGGCCAAGTTTTACCCCTTTCCAGGCGGTAGGAGGGGGTTCCTGAGGGTGGGGGCACCCTCAGGGCACTATAGTGCCAGGAAAACGAGTATGTTTTCCTGGCACTATAGTGGTCCTTTAAAGGACCACTACAGACACCCAGATCACATCAGCTCAATGAAGTTGTCTGGGTGTCAGGTCCCTATAGTTTTAACCCTGCAGCTGAAAACATAGCAGTTTCAGAGAAACTGCTATGTTTCACTGAGGGTTAATCCAGCCTCTAGTGGCTGTCTCACTGACAGCCGCTAGAGGAGCACACTGAGCGTCCATAGGAAAGCATTGAGTAATGCTTTCCTATGGGCGGTTTGAATGCGTGCGCGGTCGCATTCGGAGCTGAGAGGCTGAGGGATCCTCAGCGCCAAGGGAGTCCGGCGCTGGAGAAAGGTAAGTGCTGAAGAGACACACACTCTCACTTACAGACGCATACACACTAGCTAACAGACACACACATTTACTGACAGAGATACAGTCAGCGACAGACATACATACACACTCACTTACAAAACATACACTCTCATTGGCAAACACACACTCACTAACAGACATCAAACAGACTCACTAACACACACACACTCAGTAAGACACACACAGTAACACACTCACTGACACTCACTAGCAGACACACACACTAACACACTAACACTCACTAGCAGACACACACTAACACTCACACACACTAACACTCCCACACACTAACACTCACACACACTAACACACACTAACACTCACACACACACACTCACTCTAACACTCACACACACTAACACTCACTAGCAGACACACACACTAACACTCACACACACTAGCACTCACACACACTAACACTCACACACACTAACACTCACTAGCAGACACACACACTAACACTCACACACACTAACACCCACACACACTAACACTCACACACACTAACACCCACACACACTAACACCCACATACACTAACACCCACACACACTAACACTCACTAGCAGACACACATACTAACACTCACACACACTAACACTCACACACACTAACACTCACACACACTAACACTCACACACACTAACACTCACACACACTCTAACACTCACACACACTCTAACACTCACACACTCTCTAACCATCACACACACTAACACTCACACACACTAACACTCACACACACACACTCTAACACTCACACACTAACACTCACACACACTAACACACACTCTAACACTCACACTAACACTCACACTAACACACACTCTAACACTCACACTAACACACACTCTAATACTCACACTAACACACACTCTAACACTCACACTCACACTAACACACACTCTAACACTCACACTAACACACACTCTAACATTCACACTCACACGTTTAAAAAAAAAAAAAATTTAATCCCCCCAGCCTCCTTACCTTTTGGAGTGCTCGGGGGATTATTCCCTGGGGTCCAGTGGTGCTCCTGGGCTCGCTGTCTGGCCGGTCGGGCAGGCGGGCATGCGAGGGAGCACTCAGTGCTTCCTCGCGCGCCCGCCTGCCCGACTGGCCACCCGCCCAGGAGTGTGTGTGTGACAGCAGGGCCAGCCTCGGGGGGCCCTGGGATGGTCGGCTCCTGGGCCCCCCAGGGGAAGAGGCTGGCCCTGTGGCTACATACCGGGTGGCAGGGGCGGCCGGGCCCCCTGGTGGGCCGGGCCTGGTCGCAGCCGCGACCCCTGCGACCCTGGTATGTACGCCACTGCCAATACCAGTGGGTCCTACACGTGGGAGACAAATTAAATAGAGCTAAATAAGCAAATGTCTGTTGTAATAATCTGTTGAAAGAACATAGTGAGTATATATATATATATATATTTCTTTTTATCACATTCCTTTTACCATATATATATATATATAGTAAAAGGAATGTGATAAAAATAAAATTCAAAAAAATACAGTGTCGAAATAAAAATGATAGTACTTGTTGTCCTATTGATTTGCACTATTGCACTTTTCTTCATTTTTAGGTGCACATACCACAAGGAGCTATACTGGTTTGTAAGTATTTATTTAAACATTACATGTGCATGATTTAGTGATC